TGTGGCACTTTTAAGATTATTTTATCAATAAAAGAATAAAATTTGAAATTAGTTTTAAGGTGAAAATTTTGAATGTTTGTTTTATATCATTTGGAATAATATTAAGATTTTGAGGGATTTTCAAAGTTAGTAATGTATTTGATGGGTTTGGATTTTGAGAAACAAAAAAAAGTTTATGGATTTTAGGATTTTATAATTTTTTTATAATATTTGATTAGGATTATTTTAAGATTTAATTAAATTTTAGGATTTTTCTAAGATTTCATTAGAATTTTATTATAATTTTTCTAAGATTTTATTAGAATTTCACAAAGATTTTATTATAATTTTACTAAGATTTACTTAAGATTGGTATAAGATTTAAGATTTCATGGATTTTATTAAGATTTAACTTAAGATTTTATTAAGATGCATTAAGATTTTAATAAGAGTTTTAATTAGAATTTGACCTAAGCTTTGATTAAAGTTCATTAGAATTTCAATTATGGATTTTTAGTCCTTAGTTTTGTTTCAAGTCTTTTTATTTTTTTTGTCTTGACAATAGCAATTCTAGTTTAATATTATATTAGCTTTAAGTGATTATTTGATCTTTTTGAGAGAGTCAAGAGTGTCTTGATCTTTTAGAGAGATTCAAGAGTGTCTTGATCTTTTAGTTCTTCAAGATTTATGTCTTTGATAGTTTATTAAAGATCTTAATTCATTGTTTTTGTTTTGTCTTAAATGTGAGTAGATTATTTCACTTTTATTATTGTGTTTTTGAAGGTTATAGACCATCCACCTTAAATCTAATATTTTAGTTTCCTAAATATGATTTTTTTTAAAAAGAGAAGATTATTTTTTTTTGTAGAAATTTCCATTTAATATTAGAGATTATGGATTATCTTCATCTAATTTAATTTTTTGAATTTTTTTGAATTATCTATGGAAGATAAAATTATAGATGCTACTCGTAGCAAAAGTAAGAATAGATTTGTAACTATTGTAGATTTTCACAAGCTTGTCATTAAATTTAGAGTAAATATCTTAGATATATCTAAAGTGAATCATGGAGATATTATTCCTATGCCTATGGAAGTAGTCAACAATAAAGTTCAGACTCTATTCTAAGAAGTTGTGCAATGAAGAAAAATAAGTAGATCAAATTCACAACTAAATGTGAGAAATCATACTATTAGAAGTATATGAAAAGCAAGGATAAGTATGTCTAGGAAGTTTGATGGAATAAGATCAAAGTATTGAGGATTTCTACAACAAGTAAAATTCTATCTAAGGTTGCATCTTTTTTAATATCTTGATAGATTTTTTTAAGTCAGATTTTAAAAGCACTTTTCTTTGAGAGTATGCTATCTTGGATTACACTTTTGATAGAAAAAGATTCAAAACTATTCTTTAATTAAACAAGAAACATCTTTAATTAAGAAAACCAAGTCTTTACATGTAAAATTAATAAATGATTGTTTATTTTCTTCTAAAGATGTTGCCTATCAAATTATTCCTTTAGATATAGCAATTAATGGTCATAATAGCTTAGTAATATTTTAAGTGATTAGATCCTCCTCCAACCTAATTATTTAAGAGTTATTGTGGTTAAAAAAGTATAATCTTTCAAGTATGAAATCTAAGAGATGTAAGATTATATGCTAAGATGAAAAAATGTGTATTTTACACTACTCAAGTTGATTTCATAGGATACATCATTTCAAATGATGGCTTTATAATGGATCTTAAGAAGGTCCATACTATCATAGATTGCAAGATCTCAAAAACAATCAAAGATGTGCAATTTGTTTTGAAAATTGGCAACTATTACCAAATCTTTATTAAGAACTTTTTTAAAGTTGTAGCTCCTCTTATATGCTTGACACGTAAAGACAAACTTCAATTGAACAAAGAAACTGAAGCATCTTTTGAAGCCTTGAAGACAACATTTATTTTTATACCAATCTTGTATTGTATCAATTTTTTTAAGGTATTTTTTTATGAAAATAGATGCATCACATTTTACTATGGATATCATTTTATCACAAATTAGAATAGATGATAAGTTCCATTCAATAGCTTTTTATTCCTAATTTTTTTTAATAGCCAAGATTAATTATAAAATCTATGAATAAATTTATTTTATAATCATGGATTTATTTAAAGAATAGCATCATTATCTATAAAGTCCTTTTAATTCAATCACCATATACATGGATCACAAAAACATCAAGTATTTCATGTTGGTATGTATTTTAAATTATTACTAAATATATTAAAGCATATCTTTATCAAGATGATTTATCAACTTAAAAAATAATAAAGTTTATCAAATACCTTTTTTAGACATTTTTATCTTACATCAAAAAAAAAAAAAGATACAGCTTTTAATGAATAAAGAATAATTCTCTTGAAGTTAAATTATTTTCATCTTTGAGAAATAAAAGTTTTAAGACTTTCTACTCTTCTTTTCTTTGGCAATAGTCATTTTAGTTTAATATTATACCATCTTTGAGTGATTATCTAGTCTTTTCAAATGACACACAAATGTCTTTATTTTTTAGTTCTTTAAGATTTATATACTTGATATATTGCAATGTAAATGGAAAATAATAAAATATTCAACATAGTAAATATTGATATTTTTTACAAGTATTAGATTGCAATGTAGCTATCATATAAAAACACATCAAGACCTATATTTTTGAAGGACTTCATTGCAAATTTTATAAAAAAATTGCTTATAAATTATATATAAAAGATGGGAAGAAATAGAAAAATTAATTTTTGTATTACCTTTTTTGTATGATTATAAATAAGACAAGGTAAGTTAGATTAAAATATATATATATATATATATATATATATATATATATATATATATACTATGGGCATCTTTAAATAAAAGTCAAATATAGTTTCTAGCAAAAATTATCTAGAAAAACATTAGATTGATACATAGAAGGATTGTTGTGAATTAGGATTGAAAGTAGATCCTAAGGTATAATATTATGTGCCTATTGCATACATAAGGTTCTTTTGTTGATTGAAGAGTGAGATTAAAGAGTAACTTAAAAAAAAAGAAAAAAAAAGAAAAAAAAGAAAAAAAAGAAAAAAAAAAAAAATTTGATAGCATTAGATTTGGAAAATTTGGATTTGTAATAACTAATGATTCTTAAATTGTATTAAGTCACAAAAGAGACTCAATTGCTCAACTTCTTCATGGTAATATTGGAGTTCATTGTTGTTATCTTCTACAACTATAGAAATAGTGCTTCATTGACCTATTCTTAATGAAAAAAGAAGTAACAACAACTGACATTGATCAATTCTTAATGAACAAAAGAATTTGCAAATTAGATTATTATTTCTCTATTAAAGTAAATATTGTTGTAAGAGTTATCATAGTTAATAGCATTTTAGTATCCTCACTATATTTCTCTTTTTCTATGTAGACTTGTTTCTTGAAAGAAATTTACAAAAACAAATCTTTAGTAAGAAACTTCTTATAGAGTTAATACCTCTGCTTTAACATAGGTTAAAGTAATCTAGTCTATACATTATGAGTCTTAAGTTGGAATTGGCCTTGGTTTAATTGATATAAAAGATTCTACAAAAACTTTTCTTATTAAATAAATACAAGGGTCTTAAACCATCATATATTAGTATTTAATAATTCTTTAGATATAGAATTATAAATGTCAAACCTACAACATAATGGAAATGCTCTTAAACTAGACATGGGCACTAATTCAAAATCACAAGTGGAATTTTGGCTCCAAAATTTGGAACAAAATTGGTAATGTTTGATCACTAATGTATTCACACCTATGCCTTTATCCTTTAATTTCTTCTTACAAAATCTAGAATAGATTTTTATAGTAGGATCTAAAATTCCTACTTATTGATTCTTATCTAAACCTTCAATAAACTTCAATACTATGTTCAAATGACCTTCAAAAAATTAAGATTTGTTTAGAGTTTAATTTCAATGTGTAACTTTAAATGAAACTTGATCTAAATTCAAAATCATCACAAACATTGTTTATATTTGAAATTTCTTATATCTTTATTTTCATAGAATATAAAATGTAATATTTCAACAAGATAGTCTATTATCTAAATCTCAAGGTTGGATTTAGCTACATAGCTTTCAAATATATCAATAACCATTAGTGGTTGTTCAATTCTATACTTAATACAAAGGAGTTGAGAAAGATAAATGGTTTCTTTCATTTTAAAATACAAAAATCATTTCATTGAATATATCATGAATTATTCTCTTAATACTTCAGAAAAAGAATTAAAGAAAAAAATCAATTTACTAACTAAACCATAGAATAGACTGATATATATTTTTTTGCCTCTTGTATTGGAGTTACTTTTAGAAAAGACTTCATGACATTACTTCAAAGAAACATTTCAAGGTCCGATTTGATGATAACAAAATAGAGCTCTATATTAAATCATGATTTCTTTTTTAAATGGTATGACATTTGGTCCAAACCTCATGCCCACAAAGAAACAATGTTTATTTGGATTTTACAGAACAAAAGAATTGTTGTCAACACATAAAGAGGATATGTTAGTTTATACATTAACATTAGTTGTATTATATACCTTCTCCATAAATAAAAAAACCATCATATATAGATTTTAGGAATGCCACCAAGCTTGTAGAAATTAGAATTGGACTACCTCCATTCTATGTAAATTGACATTCAATGCTTAGAAATGAACACCTTAGAAACTTTTTACATTGTAGCAAGTTATTTTTGTAAAAAAATCCTTTGTCAATTTAAATGTTTTTTTTAAAGATTTGAACAAGTAGAACAAATCTTGGATGATTGAACACTTAAATTTCTTTCAACTAGGTAATTGAATGGAACTTAAGAACACCACAATGTGTTAATAGTAGAGCAAATACTTCCATACACAACCTTGTTGTTGGGTGCAAAATATCAACCAGTATCAATTTCATAACATCTAAGATCAACATTCTATGCACTGAAGCTAAAGTGTGTTTCAGAGTACATCATCATTACTGTTTTCAAAAATTAAAATACTCATCCATCATTGGGATGGCAAATATATGCCATTAGGGCTGAAAATTACACCAAGTCCAAGCAGAAAATATTACGTGCATAATGTACCCATATTAAAGCTTCTAACCGCCTCCTGCTCGACTCCCTCCTGGCCTTCCAAGACATAACATTTAAACACATACACAAGCATGCGAAGTGCTATATACTAAGTGGATCATGCCCACTGAAAAGAAACTCTTCACTGGATGGTAGCATGCTTCACAGTCCAATCCCCATCTCCAGTGCGGCTTACTTCTGCCTTGAAAACCTGCTCCTTAGCACCCAGCTTCGTCTTCAGAAGTAAATCAAACTGAGCAGTCTCGTCATTAAGCTGTAACACATGAATAAATAAATAAACAAAACAGTACATACTTATCAGTAAGCTCATGCAACTGAAGACTGGCATGAATACACAACTTGTGTCTGTAGTGAATCAGCTAGTGGGCAAATTAGATCCTATTCTAAGTGCAAAACGGTGTACTTGTTCAAGGAATAGACTCACTCCTTCCTTGACTCAAAACTGTTGTTGGTTTTCTTTTCTTTTTTTGTTTTTGATACGAGAGCTTGCAAGTTACTAGAGTTTGAAATGCAAAAGTAAAGGTGATACGAAACGGACCTCTGCTTCTGCAGACAGGATCTCGTTGAGCTCATACGTTGAGAGAGAGTTTGAGCCCATCTGCAACGTTTTGATCACATGCTCAGCTGCTTCCTGCACGACTGGGTCGTCTGTTGGGACACTCTGCTTGTCCGTGGGAGGAGCGCTGTTACCCCCGAGGACCATAAAGGGACCTCCTACATGGTGACCAAACCCCGGAGATGGCTCAGAAGTAGTCTCCAATACACTTCACAATTCCACAACCCTAATCCACCTCTCTCAAAACTAGAGTAATATGCGCGACATGCGTCCTTTCCTTTGACTAATGAAGGGAAGAACGTTCGGCTGTTTGTTGTTAAAGAGCTCGACAGTGAAACGCATAGAAATATGAGTCAAAAAGTAGGGAGCGAGGGCACATCGTATCAACCTGGTCTGACACCCAAGTCAGCAGAAGTAAACACTTCTTGCTCTTTGGGCTTGAAGTCCTCCAACTTCTTGAAATTCTCCCATGGCTTCACCCACACCTTGGCCTCGTACTGGCTAAGCTTGCCGCTCTCCTCCACCTCGATGACCAGGTGGTACATGGTGCCCTGCACCACCTGCTTGCGACACGATACCACCTTGGAGAATGTCATCCCTTCCAAACTGTTCTGTAGAAATTTCATCAAAATTGTGCAGTCAGCAAGATGATTCCAGGTTTCCAACATGTCAGATAGATCACACTGCTCTGAGATATGCGGCGATGTGCATATCCAACACCAGCAGCGTCGTGTACAATCTCATGTACGCGACTGCAGTGTGCAACATCGAAGCATCATATTTATTCACTGCATCAGCCACAGTTTCTACGCGACGACCATCCTCGCACTGCTCTTCAGAGAAATTCACAGAATTTTCATCAAAGAAACCAAACACCACGATGCGAGCTACAACTGCAGCTGCTATCTACCTGTAGCCAAATGTATGCCCAACCAAAAACTCGTCTCAACGATTCACAGTGCAACAAGTTCAAACCCCAAGAGACCCGCCCGAGAACCACGAAAATATGAAGAAGGGCAACAACAAAAACATCTCCGAAAATTCCTGCAACCGCATTTGCAATCAGAACCCAGCACAACCCACGCAACCCCAGGTACCCCAAACACCCCGATCCACGAACCTGGCTTTTCAAATGCTCCGCAACGGCGAAATTCGCCAACTCATCGATCTCCAAGCTGTTCGTGTCCTGGACATCAACCTCCTTCTTTCCTCCCAACATTGTTACCGACGTCGAATTCTCGAAACAACGACACACTGCGCCGCTAACTCTCCAAAAGCTCCAAGTCCAGCGACGCTCGCTACAAACCGATGCACAAAACTCTGGAAATGGGCTCTTCGCACGATGATGGCTCTTTGCACAAGACTGGGAATCTGTGTTGGACCCAAATTGCTGGTGGGCAGATATGAAGCCCCGCAGTCCAGATCACGATTGTCGCATTTCCGAGGGCGATGATTCCCCTTGGGTGGTTGCATCGAGGCTCTCTCATCGAGCCACCGAATTGCCCCCCTTCGATTTCCCCGCTCAGTGTGAACGGAGACTTTCTGTTTGAGGTAATTGGATAAGTGGGACGAGTGTTCCGTGTGCCACGTGGGAAAATACTTTGCGGTTCAGACGAGGAGATGAATGTCCGAGTTTGACTCAGATATTTCATCCATTTTGGATGATAAATTCCAACCCAACCTTTGATGAATGTGGCTGGATACATTTGAGTTATGTAGGAAACTGTTGGAAACAAAATCGTATCTTCATACAGATATTTGTATATACAGAGATATAAAACGGTAGGTGTTAGTTTAGAAAAAAACCCAAAAAGAAGAGAAATGGAAACAAGAAAGCTCACTATGAATGTAAATAGGAGAGTGTTGTTGATTAGGTTCTGTGTACTGATGAAGTTCGTTGTGAAGTGCATATTTATTAAAGTAATTAAGTATGAAAAGAAACAAAATACAGCGTAAGATTAGTGTACAATTTGACCATCTGCACATTCAATTTCTCAAGACTTGGGAACATTGGCTACAGCAAATCTGAGAAAATTAGAATGGAGGGCCAAGTCAAGTTCGCAAGTTCCCCACGAGGAGAACCAAAGTACCCAATCAGATTGGGAAAATCCACTGAATAATATCTTCTGCATTGGAACTTTCGACTTTCGTCGGAACAGTTGAAAAGAAAAAAAGGATTGGTGTTCATGAGAGCGAATCAACCGTGGCACTCCAGCGACACGTTAACACGGGCGCAGCAAGTTGAAGCCCTGGTTGTTGTGCTTTGCTTGCATCGTTGTTGCGTTGCGTCCTCCGGCAGAAACCTACTCCGCACCGCCTGAATTGCCTACTGGATTCACGATTGGTTGGTCTCGAAGCTTGCTCTTGACGTCTTCTAGCTGGAGCATCCCCAACACGAGGTAAGGTCCACTGAGAATGGCGGAATCAATATTGGCCGATGCATCGACAGGGTCCGCACAGCTTAACTTGGCACTGCGCCGCAATATTGAGTCGCTCGAAAAGTCCATTCAGGGATCAGGAGCCTTGTCGTCCTCGTCATGGCGATTAGAGCCATTAAAAAGGAGGTATAGGAGGTTCTCTTGTATTTTACAAAGCTCTCCATTTGGGGTGAACGTACAAATTGTTCTGCTAATTCCACGTAATGTCATACGACTACAAGTGTCAAGGTCCTTCACTTTCAAAATTATTGCAAATGTGGCATTGAAACTCACTGGGCACACGCAGTCAAATCTATTTGTTGATCATCAATCGAGAGGGATGGAATGTATAGATAATCCCTGAGGCTTAATTAGGATCTCACTTTAGACCATCCCAGAAGCCCTAGATGTTAAACATGCCTCTTTAAAATGTGACTGGCGGTTTGTTTTTTGTTGTAATATCAGGAGGAACATTATTGAGTATCAAAGAGTGAACATCTGTCTTCATTTGATTGAGGAAAACACAACTACGAAACCGTCGACAGGGATTAGACAGTTCAGTCAGACAAGTCGGTATGATTTTTGTGCTGAAGCTATTCCTAACTTAATACGTATGTCTATTGTGGCAGTTCTTCTAGGCAGTTAAAAGAATAATATACAAAATTTTTTAAAAAAAATAACTTAGATGTGCTATCTGCCCTGTAGAAGTATCTCAGAAAGTCCGTTTTCGCTCGATTGTGGCACGCTTCAAAGACCACGCTCCATATCCAGAGCTTCTGACTTGAACCAATCTTTCTTGGAGCCCTTGCTTTGGCTCCAGAAAAAAATTCTAAGACAGAAGACACATCCTTGAATTAAAAATATTCCACTCACCATACAGTTCTGAGACTGAAACTGCCAGAAAATCTTGATAATGTGAGGGTTATATAAAACGATTATCAAGAGTAAAAGTGTGGCGAATGTTGTAAATGAAGTGCATCATGAAATCAGTGATTTCATAATGGAACAGAGCTTAAATATTGAATGCAAAACGACAATATTAGCAATCACGTCAACCAGAGAAGGTCTTCAATGTCATCGAACCAGCTTCGATTCAGGGCACGGCAGTGCAGAATAGGACCCAGAAACGATCCACCACACAATCCGATGACCTCAAGCTCTGATGCAGACAACTAAACCTCCTCGACAATCAACAACGGATTCGAGGCCAGATGTTGAAGGGTCTTCCCAAGCGTGAGCTCGCCTATTTGATGAAAAGAGCGAACAGCAAAGCGAGAAGGCCGAAGACCACGTCATGCATCATCATGAATCTTCACATTCACCTCGGGTATTTGGAAGGAAAGTTAACTTACCATCTCTGGGGTTTAAACTCCACCAACTTCATGGAAAAGTCCCCGGGCTTCACGAACACCTAGGCCCCGTGCTGCTTGGGATGGATGCGCTCCTCCACCTCGCTCTGCATGTGACACATGAGGCTCGACACCACCTGCTTGTGGTATGACAAAAGCTTAGAGAAATTCATCAACTACAAACTATTCTTTGGAAACATAAAGCAAATGAAAAACATCAAGAGAAATCGCCAATTTATCGACTACTACACCGGAAGTAAAACCCCAGAGAAGAAACCCCAGAGGAGAATCATGGCAAAAAACATCTTCTAGGAAACAAAAAATTGCAACTCACTCTTGACCAAAACTCACACACACACAATACAAATTCAAACTGCGAATTCAGGAAAGCCGCGCCATGCTGGAGGTTGCGCGATGGCCTTCGATCTGCGGTGGCGGTGTGAAAAGAGGTTTGCAAGACACGTCGGACACAATATCGGTGACACGTGCATCCCACTCAGCACCGCAGGTGTCTTAATGGAGGTCACGAAGGGCAGTGTGATGTGAATATATTCTGATGCGAGCTCGAATCGAATTCGCAAAATCCGATTGCAGACTTTAAAGGTACTTTTTGGAGTTTTGTGCGTCGGGGTATAATTTATTTGTCTCCTTCGTGGCCTTAGTTATTGTGCTGTTGGGTGCCCCTCCCCCCCCCCCCCCCCAATCAAGTGCTACCACAGCCATAGTATGGCTACCTTGACAGTATCTTTTTTAATTTTTAATTTTATTTGGAAACTTAGCTATATAATGAAACATGATTATGTGTATGTGCACGTGTGTGTATGTTTCCATGCTCCCTCATTATCGTGTTCACTAGTTTCTTTGTTCTTTGGTTTCCTTGTTCTCATATTTCTTAATTCCCATGTTTTCCTAGTTCCCTTCTCAATAGCCAATCAAAATGCTTCTTTGTCTCTTTATTTTACATCCAAACTGCCTTTTATATATATATATATGAATAAGGAAATGTTAAAGAGATAGTGTTTGTAAACCAATACAAATTAGTTCCACAATGATGAGTAATGTCCATATAGAATGACCCGAAAGGAGAAAAAATAATACAATAAAAGAATGGAGGGAGGAGCACAAATTGTAACAAAGAGAAATTAAAACATGTAAGATTATTAATGAGCATTACATGTTCCAAATAAAACAAAACAAAATGAATACTTAAAATTGGGATCTTTTTATAAGGTAGATTTGAGTGTTTAGTATTCAAAGTTACAATGGGATGAGGTTGATTTTTTGAATTCAAATTCAACTCTATCTCTACCAATTCTTAGTCTTAAAAATCTTTGGCCAACCTTTTTATCTTTGATGTGTACATTTGTAATTAAAGCATTCACAAAGTTGTGAGGGTGATTCAATTGATATTCAAAGAATTACTATTGTTTAAAAAAAAATCTCTGAAAAACTGAATAATTTAAAAGTGAATGATTTGTTTTCTATTCTTATGATGCATGCCTTCAACTCATTCTTAATAGGGTTTATAAAAAAAATAAAAAAAAATTAAAATCAAACCAGAGCATTCAAAAACTTTTTGAGCAAAAGATTTACAAAAGTACAAATTTTCAAATGCTTTTCATCGATTATAATAAAAGAAGTTTAGATAACATATCTAAATTATATGTATAACATAGTATTAATGTATAATATTATATGTATAACATGTTATTAATGTATGTTAAACACATACATTGTTTGCCATATTGATATCTTTTCTTTGAAATGCATAAATAACTAGCTTGAACTTTACACTTTTTAGTCTCAAATATTATTTTTGATATTTATAACCATTAGGATTTTATTTATATTTATTCTTAAATAGGACATTCTTTTAAAATAATGGTACACACAAAAAAAAATTACTATACAAAAATCTAATCAATATTTTGATAACAAACTTGAAAGAAAGAAAACTGATTTTTTCATTTTCCAAGAAACTATTTATCCAGAAAATTTTAATTTTATAATATTCAATACATTTATTAATGATTGTGTTTAAAAAAACATTAAATTTATATCCCTTATATCTCCTCGAATCAAAACTTAATTGAATATTAATGTTTACAATTAACTTTCAAGGTCAATTTATTTTAAAAGAAAGATGTTTCAACTTCACTTTTTTATTCAAAACATACAAGATGTTTTTCATTTCATGAAGTCTTAAGCTACCACATGCAATATGGTCGCAATAGCACATTTTATTCTCAAATTTAATCTTTAAACTTTGAAATTCTTCTTCAAAACCAATTCATGTAAGCATTATCTTCAATTGGCATTTTTAATAATTGTGCAAAAATGATGCATTGTTAAGAAGAAAAAAATTGCGACCATGTTTGCTACTGATTGCACATGATGCTTTGTACAAAACTTACATTGCAGTGGTTATGTCTTGCCAACGTATTGTTAGAATGATTAGAACTGATGCTGCAAAATATCATCATCCATATTTGGTTTGTTTTGTTTTGTTCTGTTTGTTCTAAAGAAAAGAAATAGTAAAACAAGAAAATGTACAGTAAGATATTTTCATATAAAAATTATAAGGTTTTGGCCAAATCATGTAATGTATCAACAAGCGCTACAATGATATTACCTGTATTAACTTGCACTATGCAAAATTTGCAAATTAAGTGTTACAGTATGAAATATATTTCATTTTTTTTCAATAATAACATTAATAACGGTGAAATAGAATATTCTTATTTTTGATGTGGCTCATGCACTCTTTGATTTCTGTAAAGAACAATGTTTCATATTTTTTAACATTATACAAGTATTGACTTAACGTTTTTCGATTACTTTCTTGGTACCTCCATTCTGTTTGCAAAAAATAAATATTAAACGATCAACGTTGAATTTTTACAACACGATTCGGTGTTGAACTGACATGAGAAATTTTAACGTTAACTTCCGAAAACCTGTTTCATGTCCTTGCCTGACTACGATATGCACACAAACAGCAATACTGTGCATGATAATTCCTTGTCGCACAAAGCGTGATGAACATACCAATTTCCTCCATAGATTCTGCACAATGACGCATGAAGGCTCTGCACCGTGTTCGCAAGTTGTGCATGACGGTTAGATAAGAAATCGTCTGCAAATACCACTGCAAAGTCAACAAAGTTCTTAACAAAGGCTTGTAAGAACCTTAACGGAGTTGTTAGTCAGGTAGGCAAGTGGAAAATTAGAAACAAGAAGGAGCTTCTGAAAATTCTGTCTTCATTATGTATAAAAGCGAAACCCTGAAGTACAGCAGAGTAATACCTTTGATAAAAGTAACTTGTGGACAGGCGTATCTTGCTTCGTCGCAAGCTCCATCCCATGCCAACCATCTTGCGAGGAAGAGGAAAGCCTGACAAACGACATCTACCAATCCAGAATTGATTCAATTTATTTTATTCAAAGCAGATAGTGCAGTTGAATCTCAATGGATGTGATGAGTTCGAGGTTGGCAAACAGATTCTCGAAAAGATTAAAAAGATGGGGACTCAGAAAGCTCCAAAACACGTCAATTGCTGACTGACTTCCCGGTTTGGTTCCTGTGAAAGAATCGCACAACCAATCGAAATGACGCCTTAAGATGATCCGTGCAAGGAGACGACGAAAACGGGCAACGTCGAATCCTAAAACCACTTCTTCCGCAATTTCTCGGCAAGAAAATGCTCTGTTCTAGAATACAGCGGTCGGAAATGCTCTCCTCCAGCGACGAGGAATAATAATTCCCTGAGAGCGCACAAGACTAGAAACCGAAACAAATAAGCATTGTAAATGCGACTCTGCGTGACGCAATCTTAACAAGAAACCGAAATTCAATCCTCGGAATGTAATTCGCAACGTCGACCACGAATTCAAACTCTCATGCTGTATGTAGTGACTGGAAACATGACCTGAATGCAATGACCCGGTGGCAACAAACATTGTCTCGATCATTGAGCACAGGGCTCAAATCATTGCTTGATCGATCGGCAGCGGCTCGGATCGTGGATGGTTTCGAGAAAGCTCCCGCCGGCAGATCGCTCGCCATAGTCGCTGCGATCGCCGCAAGCTCTACATTCCGCAACAAATGCACAAGTTCATAATGGATCCACACAAACTTTGAATTCTCACACACACGAGGGAATATATGCGTGTAGATTTTTTATTTTTTGGAATGCTTGAATTTCATTTTAGTGAAAAGTTTAAACCAAAGATCGAAATAAGAAAAAATGTTAATACCATTTCTATATGCAAGTTGGAGTTCTGTTTTTTAAGGTAAACATTGGTTTCTTATTGCTTCTTAGAAATCTCATTGTGAACGCAGGTGCACAAGGCGCAGAATTGATAACATGTTCATCTTTTTATGTTCCATGATCGCATGCATTTAGTCCTAGTTTTACTCCTGCGAGATGATTTAATAAAAAACCCTTATTTATAGGAATATTGTATTCACAAAAAACACTTCGAAAAAAGATTTAATTTCCAAGATGTAACTGTACAAATAACTTACGGTCATTGGTGCAATGTTTTTTTTGTTTTCTTTTATTTTATTAATAAAATCTCCAGTTAGAAAATAAAGTGTATGTATACATATAATCATTGCTTGATAAAAATAGTTTAATTATTACATGTGGTTGTTTGTATTACTATTTGGATGATAGAATTAAAAATGGATGTATGAAACTATTTAAGAGTAGTTAGGATTTAGAAGAGGGCTAATTAATTCTTTCTCGGGGATTTGGTCAATCCTTTTTGCACTTAACACTTTGTTAGAAAGATCTACAACTTTTGTGTACTCAAGATTTTACTCATCGTTCTCGATGTAGGTATTTATAAACATAAGCTTGTAACAGATTAAATTCGAAATTTCTTTATTTCCAGTAAAGTAAATATTTGCATCTCTCACCGTTTGTTTTAACTTTCACAGTGGCAGCCACTAACAAAAATATCTGATACCTCTTCAAAAAATCTAAAATGAAATATTTGTAACAAAACATCTTCTGAAGAAAATAGTATCCACTTCATATAGCTTTTATGCCTTCTTGACACCAAGAGATAGTTGCACGTTGAGATCAATGAATCCTTCAAATATTTCTTTTTAGTGATCTAGTTGCTTGAATCAACTTGAAAGTTTCAAATGAAAAAATCAAGCTTCTACCAAGAATCTCAGCTCTTTACCCTGAAGTGGCATCCCAAACCCTAATACCTGACTCTCAATTTAATATTCAGAAAATGAGGCCTGAGCTTGAGGCTGGATTGTGGGTTGCAAAAGCTCAGAGTTAAGGAATCACGCCCACACAAGAAAAACAGGCAAACTCTCCATCCAGTAACACAGGGCCTCTCCATAGCCATGAAATCCATACAAAACCCTCTTGTGCCCCAGTACCCTTTTATTTCTTCGTATTAACATTCGGAAAATGGGGTACAACAAACAAGTAGAGCCATCGAACGTCAGCCAGGTGCCCCATCCACACGCTGCCCCGAAGGAGGACCCCACCACCAATAGTGGCCCTTGCTTCAAAGTTCCCAAGACTTTCTGTCCTTCCTTCCTTCCCCATTTCGGGTAACTAACAAGCCCCTCCATACGCACTCACTCACTCATTCCGGTAGGTAGGAAACAAGGTAGGTAGATAGGTAGGTAGGTGTACATGGAATGCCATTGTGAAAAGGGCATTGTGGAACTTGGCTCTGGGCCGTCGTGTATGGGAACGAACGCTCCTTTCGGCAGCCAGCCAATGCAAATGCAAAGATAGGGTTTCGCAAGCTTCATGGTCGATTGGAGAGTGCGGTAACATATATATGTATGTATGTATATATATATATATATATATAGATGTGACAGAATAAAATAACCAATATGGTTGGACACTGCAGGGAAGAAGGATGTTATCCTCCTTTGTGGAGAGATGGACAGAGTCAGTCAGTCAGTCAGTCAGCCCTACTACACTGTGGGTACGCTAATGGGGTGCGCGATCACACGGGAATAGGGTGAGGTGAGGGCTCCAGTGACCGATGGGAGGTGGAGGGGGGCCGGTGACCGACCAACCAACCAACCAACCAACCAACCAATCCCATGAGTTTCGGGTACTTTGGGTAATACTTATTATTATTATTATAGTAGGGGCAAGATTCTTTCATGATCATATAAAGAGTATTCCATTTTCTTGACACATTCTCTTCTGCCTCCCCCCCCCCCCGTTCATGTAATAATAATAATCAAGGTGGTAGGGAAAATGATTTGCCCCCATGAGCACGAAAAAACTGATGGGTGATATCCATGGATATAATGGTTGGATGGATGAGTGGTGGATGAGTGGGTGGAATAGTTGGTTGGATGGATGGATGTGATCTTAGATTAGGAACTTGTCAGTTGTCTTTTAACAATCTCAAGATATTTAAACATTGAATGCCTCTATGTAATGGTTATTGTTGTTTGAAGATCATTCAAACAATCTTAGCTCACTAAGATTTTGAAGATTTTTAAATGTAGTTGGTACAAAGGTAGTTGGTATAAATGTATTTATTTTTAAATGTCGTTGGTACAAAGGTATTTTTTTGTGTTTTAGAAAAGATTATGAATTTTGAAGTTTTACTTGTTTTACATAGTTTTAAATCTCTCAATGTAAGATACCGTCCAAGCTTTGGTGGCATGGACAAAGTGTTTTTGAAGATTGTAATAATTAATCTACATGTTTCATTTGATTGGCACTTTGTTTTTGTACCACATAGAGGACAACAATAATAGTGTTGAATGTAAATGAGTTATTTTATTGTTTGATATATATAGATAGATATATAAACATTGATGCTATCATATCATTGTTCCTTTAATTCTAATCTTTGTTTCTCATTACTAAAAATTAAATTATATTAGTTAAATTATCACAATTTTTTTAATATAATGGATATTTGTGGGGATTCATCCAAATTTAATACAATGTTGTACACAGGCATTATTACAATTAAAGCAATGTTAAATGAAAATATACACCCCAAAATTGTATTCTTTATATCTTATGTCTTAAGAACCGAAATCCAGAAATTTAGTTGCTTAAAAAAGTAAAATATTAAAGAAACTGTTTGGATATGCTTGAGTTTTATTCAAACTCTAAATTTTAAAAAACAACTATTCACTTTAATTTTGCTTTGTATTAAATTTGTCTATGAACAATATGTTCTGTTATTTTTGTCAATGTAATATTTTAACTGTAGTATAAAATGTTGGTATTACTCATTTGATCTGTTAGTCAATCATAAATTTAAGTAGTGAATTTTCACATTATTTTTAAAATTATTGTTAAAGTTAATTTGGTTATACAAACACATATATACAAGATTAAATTAAAACTTATGGTAAAAAAATTGTTTATAATTGCATACATGACATGTTTAGTATTGAATAATCTAGAAATTATTCCTCATTTAAATAAAAAAATTGTAATGCATGTTTGCAACAACATATGTTACCTTAACCAAGCAAGATTCCAAATCTTAAATTTTAAATAACAGATATATTATATTAATACTTTTAGTCAATAACATTCTTGTAGTAGGTTGGTGTCTCCAATTAATAAGTTTTTGTTTTGGTATTTGTTTCTTTGTTTTGTTTTGTTTTGTTTTGTTTTTTTTTTTTTGAACAATTTCCAAACAATAAATATAAAAAAATTCCAACATTGGGTTTAGTAGATCATCTCAATGTTGATCATAGCATTGACACCAATTTGGAAGTTTTTAATATCTCAAACAGATTAATAGAGAAAAATCCAAACATCAATAATTGCAGTGCAATTTCAAGTAATTTTCTCCTATTCTTTTAACTTAACTTCACATCATATATATGTGTGTGTGTGTGTGTATGTATATACACATCTTCTCACTTTATATAAAACCTACTAAAGTTTTAAGAGAGAAAAAATATCTCGCTTTAAGAGATAAATATATATATATATATATATATATATATGCATTAATTCTCACATCAAGGCTTCACAATGTGTAAAACCTAGTACCAACCAACTTTACTTGTTAAATCTAAGTGCCACATAACTTACTAGTAGGGACATTATATATACTTTATTTATGACTTTTATGTGCATTGTATTGTAATATCTATCTTGTGCTTGATCCAAAAGTTTATTTTTATTTTAAAAACATTATTTTTATTTATTTATTATTTTAAGTAAATTTTTTTGTGTTTAATTCTCCTTCATTTATTAAACTTGGTCTATTTTCCCAACAACACATTTTGTGTAACAAGGATTATTGCATTTAAGTTGATAACAACTAAAAAACATATAATATATATATACATATATATATATATATATATATATCCCAATTGTAAATTTTTTTTTATGCTTTTGTATTATTTTTTTAATCTGAGAAGGTTATGAATTCAATTTTTTATCCAGACTTTCTTGTTCTGCTTAGTGAAGATGAAAGCACCATGAGACTATTACAATATCTTAAATAGCTTTCTTATCTAATTTATCCAATAATGATATTTTCATATTTTATTTACAATTTTGGTAAAAAAAACGTAATGTTCCATAATATACATATATTTTAAAAAATTGAATTCCCAAAATTTATTTGCAAGTAACATAACTTTAGCATACTCTTTTTTCCTTTGGTCCTCTAAGCACTCTTTAGAAGTCATTCCTGGATTTTTATAGGTGTTATTTAAGATACTTTCCAAATTATATTAGCACTTCAAAAATGTTGTTAACCTATTCTAACGTCTCTACACAAACTCATTCAAAATCATGATTTCAGAGCAGAAAGGATTGCACTTAAAATTTACAAAATACAACATTGCATATTGTAATGAGCGTGGGTTTTGTAAGCTTTTTCTAAGCAAAAACAACATCTTCAGAGGCCATCTTCAATCTCAACAAGTCATTACCACCTTCTTGGATGATAAGTTGTCAGCAAAGCTCCAAAAAACATTATTTCAAAGGTTATTTCTATTTCAATTGATAAATTAGCAGAATTTATGCCTGTTATTATTCTGTGAAATTTTGTATAACGTGAGCATTGCTGTGTGTGTCTGGGTATATATATATATATATATATATACATATATACATGTATTTTTTCAATATATACTTTTTACCATATTCAAAATCACGAGTTAAAAAGAAAACATTTATGTAAATGAATAGAAAAAACAACATAAGTTGTAGTGTGTGACTTTGTTCTATCCATTTAAGGTATGTGCTTTAATGTCCACTGTATAGTATATTTGAAGATTTCTTTTGAACATTGGTTCAACAATTATTATTTTTGTGTATTGTGTAGATTATTGGTGATGTTTTATACATGTATATATTAATAATGACCTTGCTCATTGGATTTTTATTTGATTGAATCACCAGCTTTAAAAAAATAGTTTAGCTTTTTAGATAGCACTTTAAGATTTATTTCTTTGTTTATCTTGCCACTGATATGTCACTTATAACAAACACAATAACATGAATAAATTTACTTTTTTAATTGGATTGACTCAATATGATTGATATCAATTGTATTTTTGTGTCTGTGTGTGATTATATTTAATCCATATGCTTTGATTTTGATGCTTTATATTTTTTTAGTTATTTAATTTAAATATATTTAACTTAACCATAGATTACTTTCATTTCAAAATAATTGGTACTGATAAAATTTATAAAATCACAAATTGTAAATTTGAACAGTTCAGGATTCTTTTGAAGGACAGTATTATTTACTGTAAGCAAAGGAATAAAACCGCTATATCACAAAATAGACTCAACGAAGTACAGTATTTTGCAACTGTATAAATCCGAATTATTTCTAAGCAAATCAGACCAGATGTTCAAACATCCAAAAACATCAATCCATTATTACACAGTCCTTCCTCCACTTCCCTCAAGTCTCCAAGAATTATTCTCTTCAATCAACTATTTGAATTTTTCATTACCCACCACAAAACTTGTCATCCCCTCAACCTAGAAAGAGAGAAAAAAAACACACAAAACAAACAACAAACAACAAAAAACAAAATAAAAAGGTAAACAACTTTAAAGGCAAATAAATAACACCACGGGGAACCACGTTCCCACGCATGATGGGTACGTTTGCACGTACCATATCACAACATGGCTTAGGTTTTGACTTTAGGGTTGAGAGAAAAACAGAGAGAGAGACCAGAAATCAGCTTTTCCCCAGTAACCAGGTCCCGAGCGAGGGGCCAGTATCACGACCCCTCGATTCACCCGTGTGAACACAGCCCTCGCACTCCTCATATTCTGGCGGTCTGTCTGAATGCGACTGTGGTTGGGATCGTATTCACACTGGACCCGAAGTAAGGGCTCATTCACACCGGCGCCAGGGGATGCGCCGCAGGAGGAGGTGATGGAAGTGGAAATTTGAGTTTCGATGGAGAAGAGGGCGACGCCGAAGAGGAGGACGACGACGGCGAGGGACGAGGAGGAGCGAGAGCTCATGGAACATCAACAATAGCGAGGTTTGCAGTGGCGGTGGCTCTGCTGCTGCAGCAGTAGTGAGTAGAGAGAATAGAAAGGGGGGCAGCGAACCCCGCTTGCCGTGCTCGAACACGGCGATGATTGCGTGCTGACGGCGGCCGCTCTCTGGCTCCACGGGATTGTGCGATGGTATCATGGCCGTAGGCATGAAGAAGAGAGGTTAGTACTACTACAAGCCGGCTCTCGCGAACTCGATCGATCGCGTCCATGGCGTCTCGGAGTTTCGGAGACTCTGTGGCTGGGGTTAGAGATGAAGAATTGACGTATTATTTTAATTTTTTGTGTATGTATATTCTTTTATTTTTTTGATTTTTTGTCGCTTGTTTTATTTTAAAATTGTTTTTTCACGTTGTATATTTTATTCTCTTTCAGGAGCATTGTGTTACTTCTTTCGTAGCGTTGGCTTGTGAGTTATGTATGGGGATGGTTGTGTGGTGGCAGTGGAAATGTGATGCGCGAGCGGATGTGTTCCGTGGAGTGGAGTGAAGTGATGCGGTGGTGGCGCGGCGCTTGTTTTTGTCTTTGAGGCGGAGTGGGGAGGGGGGGGGATGTGTTGTATCAGATAGTGCTTTGCGTTAGTTTGGATACTTGTTTATTCTGTGTGGTGAAGTGGCGCGGTAGAGAGGGGAGGGAGGAGGAGGAGGAGGATAAGTTAGACTCTTGGCGCTCAATTTCCTTCTGCCTGAAGGTCTAATACGAGTACAGATGCCGGGGGTGATGGCGTGTGTTTGTTTTTGATTCGAGGAACGGTTGTTGTAATCCGAGGATGCTATGTCGTGAGATTAAGGTTTGGTTACTTAGGTGTTGTAGCGGTCTGGGGAGAAGGACGTTTTCAAGAGTTGAGAGGCAATGCCATGGCTCAGAGAAGACTGAATGGAGAAGGTTCAGCGGAAGCTCTTGAATTATTGATCGCATGTTTGTCACTTTCACAATCACGTCAGGAATGCTGGCAGGACGTAGTACAATATAGACGTGCTGGTTACAATATCTGGGCGTGGGAAATGCCACTGCGTACGATCGATTTCTGCCGCAAGACTTGATTCTGCCTTGGCATAGATAGGGCTTGCTTCATTGAACTCCTGCCGCTACCACACGGCGTACACTGTCTGCAAATAAGAAAGCTGCATGCTCTTTGACTGGAGAGTTTCTGGTGATTCTGGAGCGATTTCGGTGGAGGTGACCGACGCATTGAATCATGGATTTGTCCTCTGATATTGGTCAGGATGGGGGTTCTCTTAAAAAAGGTCCATGGACATCTGCTGAAGACTCGATTTTGATTTCATATGTGACCAAGCATGGGGAGGGTAACTGGAATTCCGTGCAAAAACACTCTGGTCTGTTCCGCTGTGGAAAAAGCTGCCGACTACGTTGGGCCAATCATCTGCGTCCTAACCTCAAGAAAGGCGCCTTCACTCCGGAGGAAGAGCGCACTATCGTCGAGCTACATGCCAAGCTTGGCAACAAGTGGGCGCGCATGGCTGCCCAAGTATTTTCCTCAAAACATTTCACCTTCATTTCCGAAATTACTCCTCGCATGACGTTTTTCTCTGTCGGACAGCTATTTTGAATGTTTGGGTTAGTATTTCGTGCTCTAGGGTCACGGTTTCCAGTATCTCCATGTCAGTCTTTTGGAAGAATGTAAGGTTGAACTTGGCATGTGGCAAGGATCTTGATTCTGTTTTAAAGAGTAAGTCAGAATGTCGAGTTCCTTCCAGCAGCATGCCTTATCGTCCTCGATTCTGTTATGAGTTAAATTTTACAGTGAGTCTGGTTGAGTATGAAGCGCTCAAGGCTTTCAAGCGAGTGTTTCTGAAGTCACTTCTTCACTGCTAACGGCGGTTGCTCAATGAGTGTATTTATAGAATTTGGCAATGAAGGCAGTAGTTCCTCTGTTGTTACTTCTCAGCAACAACGTTGTCTGGTGTAGTGTTAACGATGGCGCACGTGTGTAGGTGAAGCGTATTGCTTTAATCGACTTCACATCTATTGTTGAAGCTGGGAGGATAAAACTTAAATGTATACGCCACTTGTCAAACTAGTCGCCTAACTGATCAGGATTTTCACTAAATGGAAAAAAATGCGAAATTGAGCAACTATATTCGTAAATCTAGCTTTAGCATGTAACCTTCTGGGTATTATGTCGTACGGAAGGGTTCTGTATGTACAGGACTAGCTATCTGAATGTATGTAGCAGTGTGTCTTAAGTTCAGACTCCAACTTAATCCTTCATGTTTTTCATGATTATTTATGGACAATTTTCTGAAGGTTTTTATTTTTATTTTTGCGTGCAACAGCTTCCCGGACGAACTGACAATGAGATTAAAAACTACTGGAATACCCGGATAAAACGAAGGATGCGAGCAGGATTGCCAGTATACCCTGCGGAGAAGGCAAAATCCAGCCCTACTCAGTATTATGGAAAGCCGTCAGATGGAAGGAGCTTCATATCTGGGGAGGACGCAGATTGTGATTTCATTTCAAGCTTCCCTCAGCCAGGTATTCAGAACTATGAGATGTACTCAGTTTTCTTCTTTTGTCTTGATGGTTTGAATGCTTTCCAAGAACAGCAATTAATACCAAGCTGGTCTTTTCGGCAGGTGATCATTTGCACAACCTTCACGCAATCAATGAATGTGACCATAGCTTGACAAGAAATTGTTTGTCTATGATCCCCATGGGCGCCCTTGCACCAAGTACCACAAATCAAGGGACCAACCAAGTGTTGAACAAGACCATTGGTAATCCCTTTGAACAAATAGAAGTCTTCAGGAACAGCCACCACGGGAGGAGTGGTATAGGCAATGGAAATGTGTCTTTCGCACAGCTCGCCGACGGAGGCAACTTGAATTTTCAAACTGATTTCAATTCATCCAGCCAAGGTTGCGATCGAGGCACTACTACAAGGGATGTGTTACCAGGATTTGGGAATGAACCCGAACGAAACATGATGCTTTATGATCGGATGTCTGCCTATGGAAATCTAAATTTACTTTTTAAACCTCCAGTGTCGAATGCCAGCTTGAAACTGGAGCTCCCTTCATGCCAATCAGCGGAGTCTGCCGACAGCGCAGGCACGCAGCGGTCTTCGATTACCAATCCTAGTCCGCTCATACCTTCTACCAATATTTTATCAGAATCTGAGAGCTATGGCTCAAATGCCAGCAACTTTCTTGAGACCTTAATGCAGGTGACAATTTGATAATTGATGTGTGTTCTGATGTGTATTGTTTATTTTTGTTGAACTGTACCTCCTATTATCTGTGTATTTTCAAGGAGCACGAATTAAATTCCACTATCCAGTGTCATACTTTTTTTATGCAGCTTTTGGTGACTGGTAATTTTCAGTGACTTTCAAGGATGTTTTTACCTTAAGTATTGGATAGCTTCATGTATCGGGATGCTTTGTTGTACTGGTATGGTTCTGAAAAACTTTGTCCATCTGGTTGTGAACTACACTTGTGCCCATTCATCAGTGCTGATTCAAATTCCTGTTTGCAGGATGCGCATCCGACAGAAGGGCTTGGGCAGGTTCGCTTTAGCATGGATATTATTGACCAGCTGATGGCTCTCACATCTGGAAACACGAACCCAGAGGTTGCAGCCCTTGTTTTGAGTCCTCAAAAGGGTAGGTGGGGTGAGAATAGCGATCCCACTACACCGCTGGCGGGTCGGACCTTTTCTGATCATAGTGAAGAAGTGTCACCGATGTGTCCAACTGGTAATTTGGACGATCCTGAAGCTAGCACAATGCCCTTGTTGAGTCAGTATTTGTATTTGCCTTATTATGGGTACAAGTCACAGACTTGTCCAGCAAAAGATCGCAAAAAGCTTCGGTTACCAATTTTGATCTAATGGGGGACAAACACGTTTTTGCCTGATGGCCATCTAATGTCCTGATGGTCTCCAATTCAGTTACTGAGTCCCTATTCTATGTCTTGCTGTTAAGTAGAACATGTTTGCCCCACCTCCAAACGTACTTGTACTGAAGTTGGAGGTGTGTTGGATGATGCAGTCCTTGTCTTTTAGGTACTTCAGTGCTATTTATGCAACTGTTCAGAAAAAAGTTGTACATAAGCGCTCTTGATGTTCCTGGTTCTCTCTTTGTTTGTTTTTATTTTTTTTACTTGAATTTTTAATTTTTATGGCTGATAACTATTATTTGGTTTTGCAGTACCTCAACTTGTAGCACCAAAAAACGAAGACAGCGTAAGAGAGATGCCGCGCGAAGGGATACAACAGGTCTGCACTGATGAGGACTTCCTGACGCTGTTAGACTTGGCAAATCCTGATTCAGTTCATGGATGGTACGGGTCTTCGGAATATTATTCTGCTGGAGGTGTTCCATGTGCCCCGCTTCTTGATATCATGGTTCCTGTACCAGAGCATCTACAGATGGCCGGGGGGTTGAACAGCCAAACCACCAATACTCAGAGCGCCCCTAATAACGTTTGGGAGCTTGATGTGGGCACTTGGAATACTGCATCAGTTGGTCGTCACCTAGGAGAATTCTCCTCTGTTGAGTACAGGCCACAGGCCTCGGTTGGGGATCAGAAGGTTGATCGCCGTGCCACATGCTGAAGGGATATCTTTTTCATCGGAGTCTCTTGTTGCATGTTCAAGGCTGACTTAGTTTTGGTCTGCTAGCAGCTGTTGCTTGTTAGCCATGCTAGTTGTGCCTTGCATCAGCACCGGACAGCTGAGATCGTGCTGATCAGGAAGTCGATGGTCTGTCCTTGCAACCCGTTTGTCGCGTTGCATAGTATGAACGAGTTATAGCGGAGGATTAATTCCCAAACCCAAGTGCTGAAGAGCCTGCTTTATGATATATGTCCATCGTTCTTTTTATCTTTGTTTACATCTATTTTATGTGTTTTATTTATTTATTTTTTGTTGCTTCACTAGCCCAGTCTTCACTCTATTATTGCAGTCGATTCCCTTGAAGGTATCTCGTGACTTATGGTACTATTGATTCAGGAAGTCGGAATAAGTCCACTGGCTTCTTGTTACATTTTGAATAAAAAACTATCTATTCCGAAGCACAGAGATCTTGAATGATTGTGTGTGTTGACATGAGTAAATGCTGTGGCAAGTTCTGAATATTATATGACCGGTCCAATTTTGTTTCTTTCTGAAATAGGGTACAAAATACTCTTGCTATTTTGATTACGAACTTGTTTTCTAGTAGTGGTACTGCTTATTATTGACACCACGGTGTGCTTATTCTGAAGTTAAATAAGCAGACATCAACAGAGACAACCAATATGGAAGGTTGCGGAACTGTGCCAAAAAAAGATAATATATCGATAGTAAATACTTATAATTCACATTACAACTGTACAACACCTACAAGCTTCCGGTTTTGGCGCATTCGTACTCTAGCGCAGTCCTTATTTTAAGTTATGGCTTGCTCTCACGTACGAACTGACGCTTCTCATAGGGCTGCAAATTTAGGCAATGCCATGTTGCGCGAGAAGGGGTTGGTGAGTCTCCTTCGCATTCTTGCCTGCGCAAGTTCCAGCAAATTAATATCACTCAAGTGAGCCATAGAGCATAAATACAGAACACACAGTAACCCATGTAAATCAATAGTTGAACTGAATAAGATCACAAAGGATGAGAGATTGTACCTAGACGAGCCATGAAGGCGATGAGGAGAAGGGAAAGAGCGGTGAAAATCAGGTCACCACCGATGAAGACACCGAGAAACTTCAGGGATTCGCTAAACAGCCATGAGCTCAGAGACAATAGAACAAACGCAAGGATGATCGATACAAGGCCGCTGGTAAGCACTGCAGGCCAGGTCGCCAGGGATCGCACTTGGCAAGCCATTAACAGCTTGATAATTCCCTGCGGAGTTCGACATAGCCATAAACAAATCATGTCAACAACGTTGACTGCCATGATTTATCCCCAAAACTCTCTTCATTGTTTTTGCTTGTTTTATGTTTTAATAAGTGTTAATGTTTGAGGGGCATGAAGCCATGAGAGAATTAGCAAGAATTCTTACGTGGACGAGGAACCAGCCGCACACGATGAAGACCAGCATAGTGGGATTGGGGACGCGCTGGAGCAGCATCCCGACACCAACGCCCAAGTGCAGGGCTCCAAGGAGTAGGAAGGAAGTTGTGCCAGGTGCGCCGCAAACCAAAATGAATTGAAGAAGAGTGACGGCTCCGCCGACAACTAGCAACCACGCAACTAGCTGATCCAGGGGCAAGTTTTTGAAGAAGAACGGCACCAAAATGGCGACCAAGCCCACAATGCCGAACACCACGCCATAGATGGTGTAGTACAGGGACAGCCTCTCCAAATGCTCATCGGCCACCTGCACAGCACACACTTGTTCGTCATTTATCTAACACAAAAAGATATTTTTCACAGAGCAGGGAGGTTTCCAGCGATTTCCGTATTGTTCTTTGAGAGATGTTCAAACCATCTGAATCCAGTTGCTCTAAATGTTGATGATAGCTGGAAAGCCATAGAACAAGGAGAGTCAAGGAGGTTGGGATTCAAGTGGTTACTTGGCCAGTGAGAGGATGGATAGGAATATTAATGTAATACGTATGCCGATCCGGGATCACAACTTCACTCCCATCGGGAGTTTGAGTTGTTTGAGTGTATGCTCCGTCCGCCATTTTTACCGCTTGATTTATCCTTCACACACTGATGAAACGTGCTCTGCTCTCCAGCAACCACATTCACCACCAGCAAGATGAGTTTCCAACGTACCCAAATGATTAAAACCCGAGACCCAAATAATTACAAAAATTTACAAAAAGAACGTCCTAAAACTCCCCACAAATATAGTATAAAAGTACGACGCCGTCCCTGCTCCTGCCACAGAGGCTGCTTCCTCGCATCACCTCAAATTCACAGCAAGTTTATCTAGAAGTACGTCAAAACAGCCCTCCAAAACAACAGGACCGTTCATTAATTTCGAAGCACAATCCCGTCTGCCGACACTCAAATCCACGAAAAAACCCAACTACAGTACACGATCCGTCCCTCCCAATCAAAACCCTCTTTACATTCGCGCACAGGATTCACAAAAAACCCTCTTTACATTCGCGCACAGGATTCACAAAGGCTGGCACTGTTGCTGCTATGAACCCAAGCTACCTTTTCCGCGAACGTCACACACACGAACAAATGACTAAAATCGATGGCATGATAGTACTGGGATTTATGGGCTTACTTACCAAGGCAAAGTAGTCGCAACGATCAGTACGAGATCGGGGGGCGCCCGGGCAGGCGGTGGCGCAGGTCGAAAGATCGAAGGGGGCCGCAGATGCTGTTTCTACAGCTCGAAAGCGGCCGAGGCCGAGCTGAAGTAAAAATGGGGAAGCTAGGAGCAGGGCGAGACAACTGGCACCTTGGGGGTCCAGCCAATCGCCTCATGCAGCCACCACGTGGACGCCGCCACGTGTGATTGGGGGCGATCCTGTGTCAGCTCTGGAATTGTCGCCCATCCTTCCAGCGTGGCACTTTCAGGACCCGAACTGTGACAGCTGGATGGGTCCAGTGGGACTCCGCTCGCTGAGGATCAGGAGTACAGGCCTCAGCAGTGTTCCTCATATCACTTATATAATAATAAACATCCCAATTGTGCACCATTTGTGGGTAATATTCCCTGGTTTTGCATGGAAAATAGACGGTAAATAGGGTTTTATTTTGTTATATTCCTTGGATTATTCCTTCATTATGTGGGGAGGTCTGCTGACGTGGCTTGGATGAACAATTGGATGATAGTTCTGGTGGAGTAAAGGTGGAATCTGAATTTCTTCATTTGACCTTGATTTGATGCTGACAAACATCAAAGATACAAAAAAAAAAAAAAAAAAGCAAAAAAAAAAGTAAAAAAGTAAAAGATTTTAAAAAAAGAAAGAAAGAAAGTATGGAATGAGGAATTAAAAGCACTTTTGTTTGCAACTTTTTTGCTTTTGAAACCATGTAGAGTTTGGTTAAAGTCCGCAATGATATGTGAAGTGGTGGCAAGTTGAGCTTCAATGGAATATCATATGCAACCAGGATGTGATATGGGTACAGAAAAGGGACAACCACATTGGTATATATTAAAAAATATGTATTTTAAACAATGTGAGATGTGACTTGAATTTGTGACCACAAACTTTTTGTTGTCTTTGTGGGCTTGTTGGAATGGAAACAAACATGTATGCCAGGTTATACTTACTTTGGGTATTTTCATGTTAACTTGTATGTTTTGAATAATTCCATGTGAAGACTGTGTTTATTGATTCACATGGAAGCAATGTTAATACTGAACTATAAATATAAATAAGTTCCAGTATTTGTAGTGAAACATTTATGTCACAATAAATAAATACATGTAGTGAGTGAGGCTACTACATTGGGCACAAAGGTGGTTCATTCTGATGTACATGTTCACATTACACTAATTCCTGGAATGAGATAAATCAATGTTGGGCCTTTCTCATTGTGATTTTCAATTATTTGGAGTACAAAAATTCAACAGCATCAATTTTCTTTGAAATCTGTCAGTTCAAATATGCACCAATTTGAAGCAAAATTTGATGTAAAATATCATGAAAATAAATAATGAATGGAAAAATCACATTATACATATAATATTCTTTTAGGCATAATTGATAATATATTCAAATCACTTAAAATGAAGAAAAATCCAAAAGACAAACAAATTGTGCAAGTTTTGATGCTCAGTATGGCATATTTTCATGCTCAAACTGCTTCAGGATAATCATTGTCATCATGCCTTGATGAATTACGACTTATAGAATAAGAATCAGAATGTAAATTCACTTGTAGAAGTGAATAACACTTTTCAAAAATCAAATTCCGTTAAAAATAGTTGTTCCAAATCACTTTCAAATAAGATTTTCTCATTATAGTTTCAACATGTAATTCCCAATTTTCCCATATCATCTTGATTTCTTCAAGAACATTTATAATAATAAAAGAAGACACAAAGGTTCATTTTCAAAATTTAAAGCTCAACTTTGTGATTTAATATTTTTTTCATTAAAATATTACATATCCAATTATGTGTGTGTATACATACACACACACACACACACACACACATATATATATATATATATATATATATATCTTAAACTGATTTGAAATAATGATTTTGTGGGTGGAATATGAGCAAATTAGTTGCTAATACAACATCAGTTACGATTGCTTAATTTTCTCAAAAAAACGTTCTAAAAATAGCTGTAAGCTTCATCAATTAAAATAATATTCGTTTGTCACAAAGTCGCAAAAATTTGACGATTTTTCCAACACTTGAGATATGCAAATTTACCTGGTGATTGTTGTAGTGAAATAATTATAATTTTTATAATTTTTACTTTAATAAATAATTCTTTTAATAGTAATTTTCTACATCATGAAAACAAAGTTGCAATGAGGAAGCTCCCCATCAAAATACATTTATTGTATACTGAATCTGGTGATTATGAATTTGTGGAAAGAAAACATGCTGTATTTTTGTTTGTTTATTTATTTTATAAATAACCATTCTCAGAATACATTATTTTGAATTGTCTTCACTGTTTTCAGATGCCAGAATACAAGACAATATCTTGCTGCTAATTTTTTTGTTCACCCACTTATTTGAATGTTGATCTTTTGGAGAAAAATATCAAATTACTTTGTGATCAAACAAATCTTATTTAAGGCATCATTAAAACAAAAAAATTAGTAAGGTGGGTCATAAAAGGCAAAACTACATGAAAAATTAGATCACTAGAGAATGCTGTTGAAGGGTCATCATAAAACAACAACAAAGGCTAAGGAATCTAATATTCATATGCATCCAGAGCCCTAGAATGGAAAAATTGCAGCTCCCAGCTCAATAAAGCTTCGTAGCTAGCAGCTGCATTTGCCAAATTTCTGATAAATCCTCCCCAAAACTCAATCAATTTGGACTGAAAAATTACATTTAAAAAAAAAAAAAAAATAGTAAACAGGAATGCAATAGAAAAGAACAACTACTAGTGACATTCTCAGCCAAATGCTTCTCCCAGAATTAAGAACCTATGGAGACTTCACATTAGTTGGAGCCCATCTACCCACTGGGAACACCAATCACATTAGCCACTTGCATACATTTTCTAACTTGTTCAGATTTATAGCAAGATAACAACATTTAAAAGAAACACACAATATTTGTATTGTACACATAAAGCGAGAGAGAGAGAGAGAGAGAGAGAGAGACTAATTCCACTTACAGAGGAGTGCCCTTGGAAATTAGGGTTAACCCATTCACTCACATCCATGACTGAGCTCCACCTGCCTTAACTGCTGTGCTAGAGCAAACCCTAATTCCAGGGAGAGCCCCTTTGTGGAGCTGGGAGGGGGGGAGGGAGGTTGCAAAGCCCTGTTGTGATGGATGAGTGGGTGCCAAAGCCAACTCATCATCATGGAGCTCTCACTCACTCATGGCAACAACTCAAAGCCTGGTAGGGAAATGTAGCAAAGGATGAACGAACTGGATCATTTATCCCCCCCCCCCCCACCAAGGAAATTGGGGCTGTGAAAGGGATGGAATTTGTGCTGCATGTTCATCATGTCATGGGGGAAGGAAGCAAACAAACTGTGGTGGTGAGTGAGTGTTTCTTCTTTGTTGTCAGTGATGGATGGCAAATTAACAGTGATGGATTTAGGGTTTTGAGAGGGGGGGGTTTCTCAACTGTTTTGTTTTTGTTTTCTTTTGCTGCAAAGGGGGAAGGGGGGTGCATCATATGCTCTGCTTAAGTACAACACACACACTCAGTATCAAGAGTACCCTCTCTGCCTGCTCTAAGAATGAAATGGCATTATCACACATGTTGCTGATGATCATTGAAAGGTATTGGGCTCAGGGGCAACATGATGCACAGCCTACCCTTTGCTACTACCATAGTGGAACAAAATAAATGTCAAGTAATAAGTTATATAATTTTAACAGTTTTTTTTTTGCTGAAGTAAAACTTGAAAAATCCCCACAAAAACTGTGTTAATTCTCTGCTGAGAAAAACCAGCATGGAAAACCCTTTTTTTTTGCATTGGCAAGAGTAGGGTAGGGAGGGTGGGAACGAGCGGGGAACGGGCAGGAGAACGGGGACGGGAACCGAGAGGGAACGTTCCACCGGGTCGGAATGCCTAACGGCTTTACAACTGCCCTGCGGGCATTCCCTAGGCCTTGCGACGCGATCACGGGTGTTATTGTTATTGTTTTTGCGATCTGCCCGTTGCCCACAGCCCGCCGTCCCGAAGGATCCAGTTTCTTGATGACCTTGGCGTTGCGAGTCTCCATCGTCGTCCGCGAGGCCACCTCGCGCTCTGCTGCAGCTTCCCTTCTTTGCACGCTCCCTCAAGGAAAATCCCTGGTCGATACTCTCTCCCCTTTTCGTGTCTTGGTGCGGTTTTTGCACCCATTTTCCAGGGGACCCACTTCTTGGTTTGCCGTTTGTGAGCCTGTTTTGTGTGTGCATTGGATTTGGTAGCTGCGTCCCCATCCACCTACAGTAGAAGCAGCAGGAGGAGGAGGAGGAGGAGGAGGAGGAGGAGGATTCGAGAGTGCATTGGCAGGAGTAGGCTTGAGGCTTCGTGGCTGGGTGGCGTGTTTCCTTCCATGGAATTGGTTGTGATCTTGACGAGGATTTCATCTCTGGAGCAGGCTTCTTGTTGATGGAGCTGTGTGGGGGAGAAGCTGGGCTCTACTGGTTCTCAAACGCGGCATTGAGCCTGCAGTGATTTCTTGATCATAATCGACCGGCCTTCTTCCATGTCAGTGCTTTTCGTGATCTGCTCGTGCACTGGTGCTGGTTAGTCGGTTGTGTTTGTGTGTATCAGAAGAAGGAAAAACGCTCGGAGTCTGCAGGTTTTGACAAGTGCTTTTGGCAACCAAGTGATGAGCGTCATGCGTAATGGAAACAGTGTGGGGACTGATTATGGGGTCATGTGTCTGAGTTTTTTTTTTTTTTTTTTTTTTTTTTTTTTTTGGAGGACACGGGGCTTTTTGTAGATGATTGTTGAAAGTCACAATGTTGGGCGTCGTCAATGTCTCGCTTTGGTTTAAAAACTAGTCTTTATCGGCTTTACTTCAATTTTTGTTCCTTGTTTGTCATTTCAATTTCAAGAATCTTGATTACATAATGTAAAAATTAATCGAACTCCAGGTTCTATCTGGTTTAAGATCACGTTAATCTCGTGTCCTCGAAGTTGGTTGGGTTTAAAAATCGTTTAGTATAGTCTTTTAAATAGACAATGTCTCTCACATCTGTATCACGCCAACAATGAAAGTTGGCATGCTAATCAGTACAGTAGTGCTTTTGTCTTTAAAACAATTTGGTCACCATTTGGTTGCAAGCCGGGCCATTCACTGAGTTGTGACAACAACCGTCAGAAGTCCTTTGAGGATTCATATTCACTCAACCACAAAGAGGCTGGAGAATTGTATTGGAGTCATCGCTACACGAATTAAAAATGGAATAACACAACAAGGATGTCAGCCACAGCCTTGGGTATATGATTGATGAGAATCTCGATGAGCTGTTCTAAGAATCTCCTTCAGAATTCATGACCGGGACAATCCCATGAGATTGACTTTGATGCAGCTTGCCGCTTGTGGGCTTGGATTCACAGGAAGGAGACGCAGCAACCAGTTTTGACGCTGTTTCAGGCTTCATATGAACAAAACCCAAAGTTATTATGCATTAAATACCAAGAATTAGCGAGGGAATTAATAAGAAAACTTGAACTGGCGAAAATACAAACGACGAGGAAGGGAGATATGGGGTCGGCAGCTTATGAGCCAGCATTGAAAAAGGCCAGAATTTTTTCAGTGACTCCTCTCTCAGTAGATGAGAACGGATTTGGTAACAGTAGTGGAGTCAGTGGGCAAGATCAGGTCAATGGCGATCTCGACTGCCGTCGATTTGGAACACCTGAGGGATGTCCTTACGGAACCAAATGCAGGTTCAAGCATGGCCCAGCAGGTACACATACTATCTCTTCAAAATACTCCATCATAAGACAAATTCTTTCGAAACAATGACTCTTGCACAGTCTGTGGATTAATATTACTTTGTACGTGAGCGGGCTAAAAATCTCAAATTCTGATTTGCTTTTTGCATAGCTCCATACCCGACATCAATTACCGTTAGGAATCACAGTTTTGAATGCTGCATCGGGATTACAAGAGGCACGCGTGATCACAAAAAGATGAAAATAAAATGGGTTGACTCGTTGCCATGATTTAATTATAAAAATGAACATTGACATGTGTCTGTTAAAAAGATCGACATTAACTGAAAGGTATTTCGATTAGAATTCTTGTTTATCTTGCAGCAAGAGCTGTAATACTTCTGACAGTGTCACACCGAATGCGAGGTGAAACTTGACATGTGGAACTGAATTGCGAGCAAGATGTTCACTTTTCGGGATGACGAGAAATTGACATAACCATTGAATCAGTGGACGACCGCACTGGCAGTCGATAAGTATCGCGTACGAATCATAGATTACAGTAGGCGGCACTAGCCTGAAATCGTAGCGACTTTTCATATTCTAGCTTCAAGGTTTGGCGTGAGGTTCAAGTTCGTCGGAGGATACTTTCGTTAATGTCACACCTTTTTAGGCTATGAACAAGCTGTACTTAATTCTTCCAGCTAGAGTCAGGTTGCTGCAATTGATTAAAAAGTGGCAACATAAAACATCTGATTTTTACAAACACTCACTGCAGGGCCATTGGGTATATATTTCAAACAGCGAGTGGCTGGAAGAGCCCAAGATATCCTCTTATAACATGTCAACTTTGCGTAATCGTGTGCAGATGAAAGACAAATTGAGCAGCCAGTGTCCGCTCTGGGGAGCAAGACCAAGCCTTGCACTAAATTCTTCAGGTTGGACTCTTTCTGACACATCTGTTCGTTCATGCCAAGTCTTCATTTAGTCAAGCCTTGCCATACTTGGTTACTTGATTTTCCGCTAATGTCTTTCGATTGTTCTTTATGTTACAAATGATTGTCATCGAGTAGTTCCCAGACCCGATTTCAGTTGCACCATCGACACACAGTTTTAAAATTTTATTTAAATTCATCTTAACTTTTCTTCGTTTTCCTTTTTTTCTGTGGGCGACATTGCAGCACATCTGGGTGCCCATATGGAGAAGGGTGCCATTTCCTACACTGTGTACCAGGAGGAATAGCTGCCTTAGGCCTCATGCCTTTAGGAGTTGCTGTGGGCACTCCAACTGCGCTAACGCCCACATCTGGGATGCGCACCGTGATGGGTGGATTTGGCCCAAATTCCAGTACCCCTCTGCCTGGAGGCTCCCCAGACCCAAGTGTGACAGTTGGGGGCTACAAAACGAGGTTGTGCAACAAGTTCAGCACTCCCGAAGGATGCCGATTTGGGGACAAGTGCCACTTCGCTCACGGAGAAAGTGATTTGCGACCTTCTAATGTCCGCTCCAACGGCGTCGATCACTTGGTATTGCTCAATTTTATTTTAAAATAAATTACATTTTTTAGGATTTCACAACATAGCATTGATATGCCTTTCAAATCATGTGTGCAGGCATTTGATTTGTTTTTAGGAGAGGTCTAATAATTACCTGTTGGAATTGTTTGGCAGGGAAATTGCAGTTACCAGAACTGGTTATCGTATATGCAAGAGGTACTATTAGATGGAAGTCCTATAATTCCCAGACCCTGAAATTCTCTATCGCGTGTTTTGTTTTCTGCTAGTCAATGTTTATGTGTAAATGTGTTACGATAACTTCATTCACAGCCTGAGCATGAGACAGCCAGTTCATGTCGGTTCATGTTGGTGTCATTGGCAAATGAGTCCAAATTTGTGATAGGACTTGGAATCCTCCTACGTCTGGATTAAGATACACAACCTAAGCTTTTTAAGTATTTTAGTTTTATATTTTTCTTTGTTTCGAAAGATCTTGTGCTTCTTCAAACCTTTCAGGTTCGATTCATGCCCTCTTTTAAGGTCCCCCCTATGACTGACTTTAATTTCTGTACCTGAGAGTAAGATGATGGCTCACAGTTCTAACGTCAAGGCTGAAGTTGTCATTGCATAAGCTGCAGGCCGCGTACGCAAATGGAGGCACCCATCTTCTTCCACCCGTTGCGACTGCCATCTACTATGGAGAACCAACACCTCCAGGAGTCATGCCAGCCACCGCAGCAGGATTTGGACTTAATAGTGGGAATTTAAAGATGAGTATAGAGGCAGTCTTAGCGGGTGCCATAATAGGGAAAGCTGGTGCAAATGTCAAACAAATCAGCCGCTTGACAGGTGACACACACCTTTACCTTATGTTTCCCTTCGGAATTGAAATCAAAATGTCAGTAGAGGTAAATAAGTTCATTAATTGTGTCAATTTCTTATTGAACTCTGGGTTCTTCGTAAGTTCAGATACCAACAGCTATGTCATTACTTTACAATTGCTGAAATTAATGGTGCTTTCTGGAGCATTACTATCAGGTTGTAAGCTGACAATACGAGACCACGAATCAAACGCGAGCATGCGCAACGTAGAGATGGAAGGCACATACGAGCAGATTGAGCGTGCCAGCGAGATGGTGAGGCAGTTTTTGTCCCACAAAGAGGTGGTGCCTCAGCGTGTTGCAGCCATTGCCTCACACAACTTCAAAACCAAGTTGTGTGAAAATTTTAGTCAAGGGACGTGCACCTTTGCTGACCGTTGCCATTTTGCACATGGTACCTCTGAGCTACGACCTTTGACGAGGTCATAATGCTCATCGTGGAGCCACTCTCTATCTTGATGTAGATTATTTTGCACTTTCTTACAATATCGTGACATTACATCCACCTCGTGTATGCAAACTTGACATTATTCAGTTCTACACCCACTATTGAATAAATCATGCTGTTCTTTGGTATTTCTACAACTCGGCAGCACATGCATTCTTATGCTACGATGTTATCTACACTGGTGTCATTCCTGGGTGATTAAGTTACTCCACTGCAATTTTGCCTGCACTGCTCAGCGCAGCTGGTATCCAATTCAATTCTAACCTGCAAGGGCTCCCGAATTTTTCCATGGTCCTAAGTTGCAGGCGAATGACATGGTTAGCAGTCGATGTCCTAGATGAAATTCTTTGCAGGGTTAAATTGATCATTGATGACTATTATTGTGTGCAAAACTACTCTCCAAGTCTTTGCAGACACAAATGAAACTCTCATTCCATTGATGATTATGGGTGCCAACTTTTGAATGAGTTCTGGAAGGAAGGTTAACCTTGGTCTTCACTTGTAACCCTTATGAATGTGTGTGGATTTCGAAGGAAATGGAAAATCACATTAGATTTCAATGCATTTGTCAGCATCGAAGTTGCCGAACTATGTAGAATTGGAAAAACTAAAACCATGAGATATCACGGCAGAAACAGTTCTGGACCATCTCTTTCAGAGCTTGAAAATCTCCCCAAAATCTCCCCATTTCGCTTCAGATTACTTTTCATTGTTTCCCATGCTTAGAAACATAGCCTATGCTGAAGACAATATCCATATCGTACACAATTTGTGATGCAGAAAGAATGCCGAAGTAGCAAGGGTTGGGCGGTTGCCAGCATCTCCATGTTCACCACTGATGAATTTCTACTTCCTTCTCTCTCTTCATTTCCTTTCGATTCGTTTGTTTTAGTCTCTGTTCATGTTTTTCCCTGAATAAAAATAAAATCTTAGCTTGTAAAGTGAGTATCTTAACACACACAGATGCAACGGAAATAAACATGTGGAGATATTTGACGTGTTTTTATTAAATTTTAAAGAGCTCAGAAATAGCTGAGAAAATTAAAAGAAATCATTTCGGAAATTTAATTATTTGAAAGATATTAATCACATTGTTTTATATAAAGTTCTATATTTTAAATTATTATAGCTCAAATTTTATGTTAGGAGTATCTGTGGAGAAATATACTAGTTTTGATGCTTTCGAGTGGTTGTCAGACTTTTTGACTAGCATCCAAACAAGTTGTCCATGAAAGTTCTGCAAACTCAAATTAGCTAACTGTAAAGAAAAAGGATTTATGATTCAAGCTAAAGAAAAGAGCTTGGAAAAATACATTGACTATTTAGTATCTGTGTAATACTATAAATTCTAAGAGCATTGATTGAAAATGTCATTCACAAAAAAACAACAAATAAATAAATAAATAAATAAATAAATAAAAATCAATCTTTTGAAGCATCAAAATATTTCAAAAAGAATATTTTAGAGGTATCCTGATTTATTTTGTTTCTCAAAATTTTAAATTAATTAACAAGATCTTTAGACAATTAAAATTAGAAAGTTCTTCAATTTAGGCTAATAGACTATGGCAAAGCATGTTTGAGGAAAATTACAAAATTAAACAAGAAAAAGCCATAAACTAAACCAAACCCTTTTAATTATTTTTTTTTACCAAACTTGGATTAAATTTTTTTTTTAAAAAAATAGCATTCACTAATGTAGAATCAATAATTAATTGTAACTAAATCCCACTACCTAAAGTAAACACTCAACCAACTCGTTTTTGAAATAGGAACACTTTTGTACTCATGATATTAAACTTAATTCAAGAAAGGGATTCATTCACTTATGTTTCAAATAAATGTAAACAAACATATAGAATAATATTAAATAGACCCATGCTTTTACTAAAATCCACCCACCCTTGGTAAAGAATATGGTAATCATGATGAATGTGTTTGATTTTTATTGGTTGTAGATCCAATAATAAGGAAATGAATCTAGAAATCATTTTTTTTAATGATGATTAGGATTGGTGGATTCATTAAACTTGGGTTTATTTAACATTCCCCTATAAGTATTTATATATATATATATATATATAAGGAATGTTAAATAGATTATCATGATCTTATTTGTGACTAGATTATTTCAACAGTGCATTCTAGAATCACACCTTTATTGCTTGACTTGGATAACAGAAGTGCTTATTGATGCTCCAAAAGAATTTTGGAAAGATCCATAAAAGAAATCTAATACAACGAGATAACAAAGAGTTACCCCTCACAAGCTCTATGATTATTAAAGTGTTACCCTGTAAAACCCTAACCCTAAATACATACCCACAAACAAACAAAACAAAACAAAACTCCGTCAGTATCGTCGCCACGCGGTCACGCAAGCCGAGACTCATCATCTCATCATCAAGCTAATCACTCTTCCCATGACAACGGCGTGAAAAAATGCTCTGACCCAGCAAAGCCAAACGAATGGCTCCAGTTCATGAGGCCTGTTGTTGTTGTTTGTTGCCATTGTTGTTGTGGTAGTAGTGTTTTTAGGGCAACAGAGAATTGTTTTCTAGCAGCATGGGGCACAAGCTCGATGAACAATTCCAGGGGCGACGAGATGAGGAGATGAGTTGATGGGTCCTTGGATGAGTGAGTGAGCAGGCGGGGTGGTGACCTCGAAGCTTGCCGTGGGGGCCCCAATTTGCCAGAAGTTTGGGATGGGGAGCAGCGCCGGCGTCTGCAAAATATATTCTCAACCCCACTGGTCGTCAAGAGACACAACCCGAGCTCTGTCACCCTTTGCTTACAATAGGAAAAGGACAATCTCGCAAATTATATCATAACCATCGGCTCGTTCTATTAGTCCCCTGGTTCTGGTGAAAGCCGGTCGCGCGCCCTATTGCGCCCGTACAAATGGTCAGCAGAGATTGCAGCCTCGCCCACATGATTGGATAGAATCACTCTCCAGGTTCTCGCGTTAGTCCATGACCAGATTCACGAACCAGAGTGAGCCCCGGTGCTATTTTTGTGCTCCACCTTCCCCCCGCTGCGCTACGCTTGGACACACCTGGTGATGGAATTTTAGTTTGTGTGGCCCACTCTCGAAGATGCGGCTGCTTGGACTTGTCGACGTGAGCAGACGAGAGATGATGTCAATCTCGTCGCCTTCTGACCCACACTGTCTGGTCTGGCTTCGTTGATTCTAACTTTTTCTGATACCCCTTCTCCAAGGGCCGCATCACGCCGCGCCCCATCTTCTTCAAAACCTCGCTACAGTGCGCACAGTGTCTGCTCTGGATTGTGTACAGGAATCAGGAATATTGTGTAATATTGTAACATGGTTGCGAATCTTCGATCAACAACACAACTGAGGAATGCAACATAAATTTGGGTTATTTTTAATATACGTTTAAATGAAAACAGACACTGTTTGGCATCCATTCCATTGTATCTTTCTTCTACAACTTTTATTTTCCGATGCCTCAGGAGTCGCAATGTTAAATTGTACTGGAACACGTAGCCACATGGAATTTGTTTAATTTTCCTGTATCCTCACCCTGAAACTCTCGCAAATTAAGCTTTCATGTATTGCAACAAGAAACGATTGAGTTCTATTAAGTACTCATTAATTTATAAACAGTAACTTAAACTGAGTAAGACAAGAAACAAATGCAATAAAAATAATGTGTATTAGTCCAAACAATGACAGTTGAGACAAATGAATGACCAGAAGAACGCAATGTCCCAGAGAATTGAGGGAGAGCTGCCATGCACGAGTAGATGCTAAATAAAAAAAACATACTTACACTTTGGGAGAACTTTACTCGGGCTAACATTACATGCATCAATGAGTAGTCACTCAGAAAACATCATCGTTGCTCGGCCGTCAAAGACCAAAGATAGATCGATAATGTGACCGGGAGTCAACCTAAAGTTGGCCGTCGGGTGCACACACCTAAGCTCATATTTACAACTAAGTAGAAGAAGAATCAATCATCGTCACTATGGTAACGTCAAAACAAGAATTTTAATAGAATTTCGTCATTACTATTGTTATTCGCAACCGTGATTCCAGTGCTGGTGCTTTAAAAATGACCGCACCAGGAAGAGCTGTGGCAGTTGAATGGCTGCCAACATGGCCCGCTCTTCTATGGCAAATAAAAAAACTATCTCGCTACATTGGAATTCCCCTCGTCAGGAGAAAGTCGAAGCTTTGGCAGCGGAAAATTCTGTTCGGAGGTCCACCACGATGATGGTCACGTCATCATGGAACTTCCTCCTGCGCCCTATCGGTATCGCCTTCAGCTGATCCACCGGAATCCCTGCGGGAGCAAAGAAAAAATTATCAAGGAAAGAAAACAAAATGAGAAATCCCTTCCAATCAACGAGAATTGTTAGAAACCCATCACAAACATTCCTCTGAATTGGACACACACAAGTAGATCGGTGATGAGCTCCAAGTGAGCTTCAACAAAATCATATCTTGGGAGTAAACTCATGCGGAGAATAGAAATTGATCGTATCCCCTCGAAATCTAATCTTCAAGGAATTCAGTTTGTGGTTAATGTAAATATGATAGTTCTTTGAAAGGATTCATTTCCGCACCAGCATTGTTAGCAGCGCGAAGCAGTAGCTGGTCCACCATGTACTTGGCAGGATCACCCGTGGGATGCTCAATCAAAAAGCGGTTGATATGATCCACCACCTCCTCATTCGTGAAGAAATCAAACAAGCCATCGCTCCCAATCACCACAAACTTATCCCCGGGCTGGACCTCTAGCCTGCTCACCGCAGGTGTGACTGTCAAGTAAGGCGGGCTGCTCAAGTCCTTGACGCGCAATATGCCCATCAATGCATTGTTCATAGAAGCCTGCAATCGATCAGTTCACACAACGGATTTAGCGCAAACCAATCAAAATCTAGAGTCGTCTTGCAAAACCCTTGCGAAATTGAAGCAAAGCCAGGCCCCTCACCTTCTTCAGGTATCCAGCACCGAAGGCGCGAGTGACGCGCAGCTTGCCTTTGAGGCGGCCGTTGCAAATGGCGCGGGGATCATCGGGGTGCTCGCTTATCACACGCTCCCGTTCGCGCGCATCTTCAACGACATGGCGCTGTGTCAGCTCGACGGCGTACAAAGGGCCGGGTCTCCTCACAGCGTTGTTGGCAGGAGCTTTAGCGGTGGCGAGAACAGCCCGACTGTCGCCTAAATTCAAAGTGTACAAGCTGCGCCCATACATAAGCACTACGAGAACACATGAACCCACCATAACGAGATCAGGCCGCTCATGCATCTCCTGCTCGACTTTCTCCAGAAAATCGCTCTCCGTTTGCATCAGCGCTTGACGTAGCCCGTCAAGGACGCCTTGCCGGAACTGTGGCAAGTCTGAGCTTTCTATGTGTGACGAAACGCCATCGTAAGTTAGCACCCCGAAGTCGTCCATGTTGGTGTCCATGTCGCTGTCTGCGGAGTTGCTGGCGCTCGTTGCTTGCTGTGCACCAATTAGGTCATCATCTATCATCGCGACGTCCTCGTCCCCGGAGTTCTGGCTGTCGTCGGCGTCGAGGAGCGCTTGCCGCTTCTGCGCCTTGTGCTCTAACAAGCGCAAGTGCAAGCCAATATTCTCGTACAGAGTTCCTGCTAAAAAGTCTGCCGCATCACGACCGTTGAATCCATCGTAGATCCCACAGAACAACCATCCTTTATCCTCCGAGCACACAGCCTGCACACGATCCTCCCCCGCTGCGCCTCCCGCCATCTGCACATCCTTGGCATTCAGAAAGCTGCTCCGGTTCGCATTTTCGAAGGTCGTTGCGTATGAAGACAAGTCTCCAAGCTCAGCGGGGACGGATTGGCTGCCGATGCTGGTCCGAGTGTTGTTCAGGATCGTCAGGGAAGACAAGTCGCTCTTCAGCGAGGAGGTTCGGTACAGGGAGTCCATCTTCCTGAAAGTTTTGGGAGAATCCAAGCCGGGAAGAATTTCCTCCCCGAGCTTGCCATTGCATATGCTGCTGTTAGCCAGCGTTGCGTTTGCGCCCAACGCAGCACCTGACAACGACGAGAATGAACTGTTTCTCCGGGCGTTGCGAAATCCGTTGAGTAGAGTGACGGAGACTGAGTCCTCGGAGCTTACCGGGGAGACAGCCTTGGAGGGTGAGGGCAATTTCTGGTGACCTCCCGAGGATCCATGGTTTGACTGACACTGATATCCGAAATGCACACTCAGCTCCTCGGTAGACTCCCCTTCTTTCCGAACCTCGACAATCTCGTCGTGCATCGAATTTTGCTTCGACGTTGTCCCGCTTCCATCGTTTGTTGACATAGAATCCTCTATCCAGCCATCGCGGTCGGTCGACACCTTAGCCCCCATTTCAGCTCTACGTCCTCACACAAGCTTCCTTGACAACTACCTAAAGACATAAAGTTGTCGGCAATCTGATGTGCTGCATCATCTTCCTGGCACGTCTGCTTGTGCCGTCGCATGGATACACCACGATTCAATCTCCTTCAGGAGAACCTTTCGCGTGTTCTATCTAGGATCAACTGTCGTTGCAGTTACACCACCCATATTGCGCAATGCCAAGGACTCCTCTACAAAGACCGATCTCTCCTCCACTCGATGGGTCGCCGGCTCCCTGTAAAATCCACAACAATACAACATGAGATTTCAGTGGTTTTGGTAGTTTATTCTAAGTTGCAAGAAATTGAGAGCATTTGCAAGGTCGTGATGTTCCTCTAGACAGAACGAAGCGCCGCATTCGCGCTTAATCCCACCCCACCCCGGACATGTCTGACGCAGAATCTTGACAGGAGCTTATTGGCCACGTGACATCGACTCAGGTCGTCATCCGAAACACTCCGACAAACTGCCCAAGTGAATTCATAATGCAAATTCCGCCAAGACACTTGACAAGAGAAAGAAGGCGACAAGCTCAACAAAGCCCCTACTTCGCTCACTAGTCCCAAGCTTCACTGGCTGCTTGTAAACTGAGCAGTATGTCACTGTTACCGCACAAGCGCAAACGAGGCATTGATTACTCCATCCTTTGCCCCATCAGCTACCATATTCACACGAATTAACGATGAAACACAATGCTCTTCACCGCGGAAACTCAGGAAAGAAAAAATGCATTCCAAGATCCATCATACCAGGAACCCAACTTAAGCTACAGCGTCCTGTGATAGCGAACGAGGATCCGTAACCGAGTTTCCTTGGATTTGAGGAGTAGTTCTCGAGGACTGATCAGAAGATTTCGCGTCACCTATGCCTGACCTTCTTAAAACTTCAGCCGCAAAGTTTCTCCTATGTGTATAGATATGTACATACATAAATATATATATGAAAGTTAAACCTACTCATCCAACACACTTGTGTAAAGCTGACAAACACAAACCAACGTCGAAACGACCTTCTACTCAGGAAAGCTGCAAGAGAAGAACAACGCAGCAGAATCACTCCCAGCACCGGCAACAAACCAGAATTTATCACTCCCACCAGACGATACGAGACCCACAACCACACACACAGACCACAACATCAAAATTGCATAACCCTCGGGTCAACTCATCTCCCACCTCTCACTCAATGTTGTCAAACCCCACTGAACTATTCACTCCACAACGCAAAACTAAAATGATCTCCTACACGCAAACTCCACAAGAATCCCAACGCATCCACACCTCACAACTCACTTGCAAAGATTCCACCCTCTCTAACTCCCTCCTTGTACTCTCCAACTCGTCACCGACCAACAATGCAAAACACCACAGGGAATAAACCAACAAATCGAGGGCAGCCCACCTCCAGATGTCTGCTGCTAAGTCTCCAGATGTTGTGCGCACGCTCGCTCGCTCTCACTCAATCACTCACTCTCTCACTCTTTGTAGGATGCGATGCTTCCTTTGCTAAAAAAACAACAGAGGGGAGTGTGGAAGACGAGTGGATTTGAGTCAGCTCCGGGGGGGGGGGGGGGGGAGTGTGGCACCAGGAGCTAGAAAAGGGGGGCGGAGCTGGGATATGCGGGGCGGAATGGAATGTGTTTGTGAAGAATAGTGAGTGAGGATGTGTGTGACGACGAGACTCGGGGAAGCAAAAACCGTGGAACGGAACTGAATAGGAACAGGCGAGCAGCAGATGATTCAGAGCGCGAGGATTAGCCTTCCTTGATGCCAGAACGACAGAAACAGAGGCGAGACGCAGCACGCACGGTACAGACGCTCCCAGCAGCACCCAATTGCTTGCTTCCCCATTCAAGGGCTTTTGTTTGTCCCTTGCGAGGTGTGGAGAGCCCGACGTGCGTGGCCCCCGCCACCATTGTCAGAAAAGACCTGCTCTCCCTCTCACACACACAGCGAGGAAAGTGAAAACAAAAACACAAAATAAAAAACCCACCTTGATTACCTTCTTCTCCTTCTGCTTCTCCTTCTTACTTTCTTCGGCGATGCCCTCCTTTAGCACGGCATCCTCTTCCAAATTCAAACCTTGCTGTGCTTCCACGAGTTTCCGCACACCGCTTCTCCCAGCAACGCCCTCCCTCCAAGCATCGCTGCCGAGGCATCTCCCGGATATATATAATATACTCTCGATACGAATTTACTGTTACTCCCAAACAAGTTTTCGATGCTGTGTAATGAAAAATCCTATTCTCCGCTCCGTTTCACCATCGTTTTATTGCACTCTTTGATTCTCTCATTTTTTTTTTCTTTATTCTGAGTTCTATACTTAGGTGGTACTGTGCTGCAACTAGTTCCAAATAGATACTGAGAACAGATTTTGATGCATTTTTAAGCGTATACACACACACACACACACACCAGTATGGAACACAGTTTAATATCTACCATTTTCTTTTATTTTCTTCTCATTGTTTTCTATTATTTGTATCTTATTGTTACTGTATTTTATTAGTTTTGTAAACCTACATCGTCATCATGTTGAAATCATATATACAAGAGTGAATTTCCATCCACCCAGGCTAGTGGGGATGTTGCCAAAAGCAGACTCCTAACATGCACGCTGACTACGCAGATGAGCTCTCTCTATTCCAATTGAGTAATAAGCAAAACCCGGTGAAAAGGAGACTGGACACAGTGGGTTTTTTTTTTTTTTTTTTTTTTTTTCCTTCTTCGTTTCAGTCATCCTCAGCCTGGGAATCAATAGAAGAAGAAGAAGAAAAGGGGGGATGTGGGTGGGTCAGCAAAAGTGGGGGGGGTTTGCTTGCAGTTTTTTTTATCACCCAGATGCAGAAAGAATCATTGGGGCTTGGATTCCTTGTTTTCCCAAGGAACCCATCCCATCATACCCGAGTAGCCACATTCGCTTCCTGATTTGCCTATTCTCTATTTCCTTACATCAGCATCTAACCCTAATTTACCCCCCCCCCCTTTACTGTCACTGCTCCTGTGCAGAGAGCCATGCCCCATTTGGGTCCCCAACAGTTTCCAGAGACTCACTGTACGCTACAACTGTGTGGAGAGATCTCCATGTGTGTGTTTTATTCTCTCTGTTTTATTCTCTGTTTTTTTTCTGCTTTTTGGTCCTAGATAATTGTGACTCTCGAGGCCCAGAGATGACAGCACATTGAGTTACTCCTCCTCATCCGATGTTAAAGAAAGTGGGGGAAACAGAGCAATGAATCATGGATTCCAAGGTGCTGAGAATCTTATTGTTGAATGCTACATGAGTTTTTCTAAGATACCGACGACCAACCAACCAAAGGGTGTGTGTTCCTTGCAAACTCCCAAGAGCCAAGACATCAAACTCTTTCCTCTCCATCACACTGACTGTGTATTCTTCTTCTGACATGGGGTGAGAGGCACCTTTTTTATAAGACCCATATAACCAATTCACACTCCAGTCTCTTGTGGTGTGGGGGGGAAATTCGGTCATTGATCCAATTCCAAGCTTAATGCGCCCAGTGCCCCATAAAATGACCCTCACTGTACAAATGATGTTTGTGAACTTTATGCCTTCTTAGGGTTTTTTTACAACTTTAGGGTTTTGGCATTCATCTTCGAGCATACAATTAAAAGTATGTTCTCAATTGAATGTAGTTATGATTCTTGTCCAAAGAGGTTCAAACTGGGTCTCTTTTTTTGGGATGTAGAATTTCTTTTATCGTCAAGAGAGCCACTTATGTTTGTTGTATGAACAAGTATGTTGTACATTGTTTTGTAATAGACTTATATTTTAACATTTGGGTACCACCCAGGCTTGCGTAGAAGCATTTGTTTGTGGTTGAAACAAGTATTCAAGTAGGTATAACAACTTCCATGCAAGAATTGTCACTTGCTTGTGGCTCCTCTTGGATATCTGGAAATGGGGGTAGGTGGATGTGATGTAGCTTATTTTAGAAAATTCCAAAAGGGGCGATTGAATGGCAAGAAAAAATAGGAATCCTATTCTTTAGAAGTCAATTTGGTAGCTTATATTTTGGGACGGTTGAAGGAGGTACTTGGAAAGTGAGAGAAGTAAATCACTTTGTAGTATCAAAGGGTGCTAGTCCCATTTAAAGACTTTGGTGAGACATAAAATATAATCACGTAGAAATACTTTTTTGGGAGGACATTTCTTTTTGGGTACAAAGGATGTGGAACAAGTTAAAATTAGTGTGGAACAAACATAGATTGTATATAAACTATATATTTTGGTCCATAAGACTTAGGAAAAAAAGAAAGAAAAGGAAGGTTTCCCATATGTTAGTAGAGTTTTTAAATGTGGTGCTTTAGGAACTTGATACAAGTATTGGTGAAAGATCAACAAACAAATATTTTTTTAATGACTTTGTTCATGTCCTCTTTGCTTGGTATTACATACCAAATACCTTTTATTATTCTAATTAATTTGATTTTCTACTAAGAGACTGATGATTTTGTTAATGTGCATATTCCTAATATCTTAATATTTTTAATTATGGAAAAAGTGCATGAATTAAACATAACGGCAACTCTTTTAAAATCAAGGAGAAAACATTTTCTGCTAATCTAGATAAGAATGAGGTCTTTATGATAGGATTTAAGTATCTATAGCATATTAAAGGTAGAGCAAGAAGCAAAATCCAAAAAAAAAAAAAAAAAAAAAAAAAAAAAACACCACTCCACAGGATTAGAAGTTTCCTACAACAAAAAACAAAAAAAAAAGAAAAAAAAAAGGAATCTTCTTAAAATTTGATAACTATTATAGAAAATTTAGAAAGATTTAATAAATGATTTGGATTTTATTTTTATTAAAATAATTAGTAATTAATTGAGAGAAAAGTTGCAATAAGTGTTTTAAATTTTCAGAGGATAAAATAGATTTATTAGAAATATATAAGCACATCAAGATTCAATAAATGTTGTGAAGTGCAAATTTTAACCATTGACTTTGTTATAAGGAAGTGTTAGTACAAGTTAGAAGGTTCTTAGTATTTTCTAATTAATAAGCAGAGTAGAAGTCAATTGAGATAATCATTTGATGAGAAAAATTTATATGATGTGGTGTAATATTGAATGCATTTAAACCCCCTACATTTATAAGAAGATCATATTTTTTTGATATAAAACAAATCGTTTTGAATAATTTCAATAAAAAAAAAAAAAAAAAAAAAAAAAAAACAGGAACTTTCATTGTTATCTTTAAAATATTATAATACGTATACAAAAGATACAGAATAAAAATAAACCTTTACAGAATAGAACAAGAAAATGCTTCAACAGAAAATAAACAAATCACATAATCATAATTCTAATTCTTGTATTCATGAAGGCTATATACTATAAGGATGTAAATAAATTAATGAACATACCTTGTGCCATATACAACACTTTATGACAAAGTATGAGAAGAAGGTGGAAGTTTATAAAATTGAATCTAAGGCAAATAAAAGGTAAACAAGAAAGTCAAACCATGTACATTTATATGTCTAAATTCTAAATTCTAAAAACAAAAATAATATGGCTATTAAAAGATATTTTCATATGGTTTCTAAGCTATGCAATAATATAAAGAATCCTAATAATAATCACTATAGATTTTAAAACAGAGATACAATTGTTTAGATGGAATATAAAAGAAGTTGAAGGATAAAAGAATAGTTAGAGCAAGACATAACAGGAGACGAATGCTTGTTATGAGACTTTTACAAGTTATTACTATATAACTTAACTCAGACAGAAATAAGATCCATATCGCTTTGCATAAGCATTGAATTTATTGACTTAGATTCTTCAAAGTGTAATTGTCAAGCTACATTTAGAAGGTAGAAGACAGCCTAAGAAAGGCCAATTTTAGGAGCAGATATAATGAATTGGCAATTATTTGTGTAGTTATCAAAAGAAAACACTCCCTCAATTTGCACATAAAATATTATTATATATTAATTTAAAAATAACAAATAATAATAAAAAATAATAAACATTAGTTTCTTTGATGCAAAATAAAATAAATAATAAAATAATGATCATTATGGAGACTACATTATTTAACATTATTTTAAATTAAAAAATAAATGAAAAGAAATTTAAAGTCGATTATACATTTCTTAATGGTTTATAAAGAATATATGATAGTAGCTAAAAAATATCTCATCCAAACTAAGCAATGTAAGTTTAAGAAAGGTAAGAAAAATTAATACAAGCATCCATATTTTAAAGTGGAAAATGATGTAGCAACTTCTATAAAAGAATTGACATTTGCTTATGATTTGTTTTAAATTGAAGTCTTAGAGGGTCACAAAGATAATGGTCGTTGAGACTTTGTCTTCTACAAGGAAGCAAGTTTTTGAAGGGTTGGGGGTAAAACCTGAGATTGTGAATAAACAGCCAGTAACAAGTACTTAGCCAAAGCTGAAAGATCTCTGCCATTGATACATGATGTGCTATTATTAGTGTAATTTTCCTGGCCCAATTTTAGGGCGGAAAGAATTGTTGTCCCTTTGGCCTTGTGGCAAAGCAGCCCTCGTGAAATAACAACCTCACACAACTGTATTAAAAATAAAATAAAATAAAAACAAAAAAGAAAGGGGATTCTGGAATCAAAGTGAATACGAATCCCAGAAGAATGTACCTTGAGTGTTTTTGTTGTTGTGATTTTGAGATCCGTGTCCGCCTGAAGACCTCGGATGTTCGATGGGAGGGACGAATGCAATGAATGCAGCAGGGTTCTCTCGTTCGCAGCACCGTGGGAAGGGTGACCGTAAGGAATCTGATTTCAACCCCATTCTGACACATTAAAATCGACGTCATAAAACCTGAGTTGGTGGACTTAGTTGCACACGAATCTAAGCCGAAGGAAGAGATCGATCCAACAGATGGGAACCATTCCCTTCGATTCTGGATGGGTCGTGCAGTATTTTTAGCATAGGAGCACCTGGCAGTGACAAGCATGGCACAGGATGTGGCTGACTTGTGCAGCAGGACAGAAATCCATTCCTGCATTCAAGTTTTAGTTTTCACCAGCATCAGCAAGCGTTTCATTTCTGGTCTGGCTGGAAACACTGACTCTGCCAACGTCGCTTCTCACTGACTGACCGCTAATAGCCATAGCCAGTGAACTGAAGGCTGTGAGCTCCAGCCAGTGAGGTCGTATTCCTGTGTCTCGTCAGTGATACGAGGTTATGTCGGGTTCAAGGTTCAAATCCCTTGATCTTTCCAGTGTGGAATGCTGAAAGAAGTTGTGGGCGTGCTGATGATCGGGGATCGGGTTCTCCATTCCGCTGCGATGGATTGCGCTGCTAATTGTCACTTATTGTGGTTAACTGTGTCATAACTACGTTCGATTATTCTGCGTTTCGGAATTACGTTAGATCAGGAACGCTAGATCATGATACAAGTAAAAGCTTTTCAAAAAAAAAAATCCGATGGCAATAGTATACAAAAATAAGTTTGTGGACTTCGATAATACTGGAAAGCATTTTGTACGTTTGTACGTTACCACCACGAACTTCTTTTCATTTAAAACCTGAGGTTCAACTCATTCGATTACCGGCTTTGTGTGGAGAACTTCGACGAGCAAAGTTGAACGGAGAAACCCCGTAAAGCAGAACATCTGAACAATAAGCACTAGATCTAGTCGGAGTATTGTCGAGCTTGTTTGTAGCAGCCCTTCAGCAATAAAAAGTGATAATCACAAGAAGTCGTGCTCAAAAACACCATGGCACACCTTTATAATAACGTGCTGTACATCTGTTGCCTAGTGTTTTCTTGCTGTCCCACTCAACTACATCCAAAGAATAGTCAAATTGATTTGCTCCCAGATCTTGAAGAAAATCAACTTACTCTCAGGATGCTTCTTATGGGCACTTTCTCTGAACATATGTGGGACCATGCTCTTCATACCTGTCAGCCAGACGCATAGCAAGGGTGAGGTAATGAAGTGATCATAAAAATTACATCACATATGCCCATTTAACATAAACGAATACACACAAGAAAAAAGATGTTCAGGAACCAACTATTTACATAATAAACGAGCATGTTTACGGAAATGAACTTCAATACCCTGCATACAGAAAAGTAGTTCTTACTCTGCTTTGGAGAACCACATTTGCTGAAAAGAGCCCAATGAAGCCAAAATACTTCCACCAATCCATACACTGCAGCGAATACAGGCACCAATGATAAAACTTAATATAGGAAAACACAGCTCGAGGCTAGTTAAAAAAAGGGATATGTAACGAAAGAGCTTGAAGCTGTTGGGACAAGGCTAGTATATAGACCTGAATCGACGCTCCAAGACGTTACCGCTGGCCAACACTTTCACACGTGCAGCTTGTGGTGCCTCCTGCCGATCAGGTCAGAACAAACACAGGCAGCTAGAGATGTGGCTTACAGTGAAACTTGGAAAAAAATAAAAATAAAAGAAAAAAAGAAAAAGGAAAATAATATTTCAAATGATAGCCCGACAAGAGTTACTAAGCAATGGTCTCTCCACACAAATTACTTACTTCCATGAGATCCTTTTCTAGCCTCTCCTTCATCTGATGCATAGAAGCAGTCCCACCGGCAAGCTGGTTCACAAGAGATCAAGAAATTGTTACTGAATTTTACTTTCCATTAATAATATCAGAATCTCCAGCAAGCAGCTGGAGTTTGAAACCGATCCATTTCTTCAACTGATTATTGAAAGATATATCACACAAGTGATTTTATGATATAAGGAAATCAAGCACCAATAGCAGGTTCCTAGTAATGAAGAAAATCGAGTAGAACATGAGAAACGTATTGGAAATAGAATGAAAAAACGAGGTCCTATATACATGCATACAACGAGAGCATTTGAATCAACAATGAAATGAAGCATGATTATTCATTGGTGACGACAATTCAGATAAGAACACACCATCACACTGTTGAAGAGCTCTCTCCGTATATCAACATCACATTTGTTGATGCTCTCAATCACCTGCCATACAAAGAATAGACCCATAAGAATACTTGATTCAGAGCACAAACAATTTCCTACTGCTTTGATGTACTTGATAGATTCAAAAAAAGTATTTCGAGTGACAGTGACAATCTTTTCTAACCATTTGAGGAAGTCCGTTAAAAGGTATTCCAGCTTCAGTGCCGAATTTCTCCATGCCAGGAATTGTCTGTTCACAAAGCAGCGGTACAAACTTCAGCATGCGGCTCTTCTGATTTAAATCCTTCGAACCATCAAGAACCCAAAGCTAAATGATATTCACAAAGACGTAGTGACGATAGAAGTAACGGATAAGAACAACAGTTACGCGTAGGCTAAAACTACTGCAACATCCTAAATAGTTGACATAAGAACAAAACACTGATATTAGAATCATCAGAAAGCTTGAAGCATCGCAACCTTACAAAATGGACGGTGTAGCAAATGCAGAGCAAATAGTCAAGAAAACACAGCATAACCTGAATAAGAGTAGGATTGAACAAAATGTCTGAAATCTTGAAACGATCAGCTCCAATTTCAATTATCCTGTAAAATACAGAGTGTATGTATATGTATATCAAAAACAAAAGTATAAAAATTTGATCGAAGAGAACATTATGGCAACAAATACACATAATGATCTAGGACAATTTGACGTATCAACGAACACTCACTGGCCGTCTGGAAGCTCATAAGGTGTTGTTGGGATATTAGCATATGAAGTTTCTGTGATCAAACACCCATCAAAACCATCAGAGTGAATTCTAGAGACTGCCTGACACATCCTTTGTTGAAACACATTGACCAAAGCTACATAAACCTCTAGCTGACTTTGGAAACATCCAGGCATCACACAGCAAGTTCAACCTCGCAGGCCTCCATGTTTCCCGTTTTGAACAGGAAGAACCAGGACGAGGAGATGTTACCATCAAAAGCTGAATCTGGTACACGGCAAATGGATTCTTTAATATCAGCCACAATAGCTCTCTGCGCATAAGCGTAGTAGCTGTCTGTCGTGTTTGGAAGATCGAGTGGGATCAACTGCCACAATAAGAAGTCGTTACTGAAGGTAACCAATGAATACGGCCAAGGACATCTGCTATAATAAAGAAATAAAGGTAAAAGATTCACGCTGACTGGAACTAAACCATCACACAAATTGATATTTAGTCACAAACCTCGTATTCCCCCTGACGTATCTCTTTGCGCTTAAATGAGAAACGTGGTTTGATCTGCAAGCAAACTACAAATATTAAAGACGAGTACTTGGTGCATTGAGCCACGTTTACTGATGCATGATGTGCTATGCATTGCAAATATGCCTAACATAAACGTCGAGGCGAAATAAATCTGACGCTACGTACAACAGAAGCAAGATCATCAACTTGGTATAGCTACACAAACTCTAGTGCCTACAGTTAGCATCAAAAGATCGGTTTATTGGGTACCAGAAGATGGTTTGTTTAGAAATAGGAACTCGCCTTAATGCCTTTGGCTTCCAATGTTCGTTGGAGGCAATCTGTGAGAACTTCCCCTCCAATTGCCGATCGAACTATAGCCTGTCCTCAATAATACAATCAATTCCATTCCCTATGCCACTTGTTTCATACAAGGCATCATGAAAAACAATCTAAGCCCAAGTTACCGGAGGCTGATATTCATGATGCAAGTGACAACAATCTCAGCTATGACAACAAAAATTAAATGCAGAACATCATGAGGGCAATTCCAACAATGCACAATACCTTCTGAAGGACATAACCGTCATGCACTGCAGCCACGGTGGTTGAGCCTCCCCCGCTGTCATCACCAACCAGCAATTTATAAAATAAGATTATATGATGTTCGTTACCAGCAATCATCAACGTTTCAATGAGATGGCTAAGACATTTAATTCGGTAACATTAGAAAGCATCGCGTAAGCTTGAGGATAAACATAGCATGGTATTTATTAAAACAGGTATGGTGCGGTAACTGACCAGTCCACAACGAGCGATGTTGCTCGGCCTGATGCAAAGGATGTCAAAACCTGCACAATCGCATTTATATTTTAGTCCTTAAACAAATAGTAGCTCCCTAGGATGCGAAGGTCGATATTTATGAGATGAACTGGGTACAGACTGACAACCGTAAATGAAATTTGACTGCAGCAAGTATACATGATGTGAAACACTCTGTCTATTGATAACTGATAAACAAATAAGCAATACAAACTAGTGATAGGAGCTGAGTTTGTTGATGAAATCAGGCAAGAATATCCAGGACGATATGCACACCGCATTCTTGGCGAGAAAAAGGGCTGGTACGTCGTACTTCTCGAACATAAGTTCAACCATTCTGTTAGACATTCAAGAAATTAACCACAAAATCCAGTGCGGATGACTCTCGCGAAGCTCGTGCTGGTGAGACCTTTTAAATAAAATAATCTTATCCAAAAAAAGAAGTGGAAAAAGGGGGGGTGTGTGAAAAGGGTTTAGGGTTTAGAGTCGGATGAACTATAGTAGATAAAAACAAATCGTATTAACCATAAGACTTTCTATCGTGAGGATGAAAAAGATCCATCGCAGCACTAACCAGATTAAATGATAATTTTAAAATTTAAAATTAAAAGAGAAGAAGAACGAGAAGGCAAAATATAGGTGAAGAAAGAAAGGATGAAAGAAAAAAATAGAAAAGAAACGGAGTAAAGTGGGAAGTACTTTTCGCGATGTTGTTGTGTGTTGAATGAGGGCTCTGCGAGAAGCATTGGATGCTCCTTTGGGTCTATCATTAAACGATCCCTGTTCAGCACAGAGACCATACTCAGAGCCATGAACAAAGCAGGTATACCCAACAATAAAACCCTACATTTGAGTCCTGAGAACTACAAATGAATGCAATAGCTTCAACAGCAGCAAATACTTTAAGCATACCTTAGAGCGTGATCCCAAAGACTTTCTACAACATCCCAATCTGCAACGAGGCCATCCTTCATAGCCGGTACAACCTGCCATACGACGAGGGAAAAGATGAAAACTTCGCCTGAATGCTGTTCCCATAGTTTCCTAACCGAAATATTGGAAACTTATACAGACAATCCCAAGTATTTCACAACTCCGAAAGCTATGGATAGAGTCGACGATGTGGAATACTAATCCACAGTCCCACATATTACAATGCAATATTTTCCTAAAAATCGTGTGTCGTCCTGTATCATAATTAAAATTAGCGAGCAATGAGGACCTGCACAAGTTGAAACACAATTAAGAAAGCCAAAGAACATATACCTCCATGTAATCTCTGCGATAACCCAGAGCTTGCACACCAGCATACAGTTTCCTCGACTTAGCCTTTTCGGCTTCTCCAGACTTCTTAGCCTCCATGTCTGTGTCTCCTCCCCCATCGACCACCGCTCCTGGGGTCTCCACTGAGCCTACTACCTAAAACATGCGAAAGACATTGGTAAAATCCTAAAAAGGGAACAACATAATTGTCTGATTGTAATAATTATTGAATAGGCAGAAGAGGCTTCACACTTTCTATAGCCCTTTGAGAAATACTTGCCTTTAGGCTGGCAAATATTATCATGCAAACATCAGTGTGTCCCAATATTATAAACAGGCAGTTTGAAAGGTAGGAAAGTACTATCGCAGTAATAAATAGTCACGATGAATCAGGGTAATATTTGTATTTTCTCGTACCCTAAAAATGCAATCCAATAATAAGCTCCAAGGTCGAAGAATGACATCGAAGACTTACAGATGGGAATACAGACTTGGGTTGATCTTCACCTGCATAACCTGCTTTGCAGGAGTGTGAACCAAGGTCCAGCACTATCGCCGAAACCTCATCTAAACAACCAAATTCATGAGTATTGTTACAAGCTCCATTTTACAAAATCGCCAGAACTAATGATTACACAGTACACATTTAGCAGAGAGCCGAAAGCACAATTCCTGAAACACATGTACAATGGCAGCACGTATCGTACTTACACAGCACAAAAATAGGGCATTCGCAACAATGCAGTGAGAACCGATAGGTATTTTGGTACAGCAGCACTTGTAGACCTTCCAACCTACTCCCCAGTATCGGATCCTTCTGATTCATGTTGTATAATTTTACTAAGACTAAAACTAAGATTAAGGTTTTACTCCAATTAGGAAACGGATCTATGTTCCTCGTTGAGAACACAAAGTAAACCTCATGTACTGCAATGCAGCTATAATCTATTGACTCTTCTTAAAAAGAGATATTAAATCCCAAGCTTATTTCCAAAAACAAAGACCACGGGGGATTCGCTCAATGAAAATAAGAGCATGCGAACGAACTCACCTCCCCCGTACATTGCAGCCAGCTGAACAGGTCCTCCAGTCCAGCTTCAGTCTTTTAAGCTCCCGGACCAACCAAGTGCGCAAGAACCCACAACTCACGCAATCTGAAATAATCCCTATCACAAAACAAAGAATGGAAACAAACTCCGGAGATCAATACATGCTGATTCCGCTTCCTCGAGCTAACCTGCACCCACAACCTGTGCAATCGCGAAGCCTGTATTTTCCATTAAAACCTAAAAATATATATAAATACAGCAAAAAATCCTCGCAAAATAAATAACGCTGAAAACAGAAACGACAAGAGAAGAAACACACCGACAGCAGCAGATTTCGTCGCAACAGAGTAGCGATGGAGGGGGCGCGAATTTCCTTCGCACCTCTGCAAACCCTCGTTTTCGACAAAAAAAAATAAATAAATAAAATTTAAGCGAGCGAGAACATTTGAGTCGAGATGAATGGATGCTCTTGTCCATCCACCTTCTTTTGATTTCATCCGTCGTATGATGAATGTCTTCGTTCGTTTATGTGACCTTCATTCATCCTCTTCTTAGATGATTTTCGACGTTACCGATTATATCAATCTCTAATGCTAAAACTCATGTGCTAGAAAACTTAAAATTCATTAGATAGCCAAAATGACACATAATAACGAATTAATACAACACATCAAAAATCAAAGTTTGGGAATAATATATATAGTCATATGTAATTATTCTTTTACTTTGATACTGTTGAAACCTAAAGAAAAAATAAATGTATCAATATATTTTTTATGATTTCAAACTTATTTTAGATTGTGCTGGTTCTGTGTGCATTTACCATTTTAAAATGTGCTTGCTTGCAATTTCATCATAAACAGCAAATGCGTTACAGCTTGTAGTAAAATCGCGATATTGGATCATTAATTCTCATGTGTAATCAAAGGCACCAATGTTTGTTATCAACAAATATATTTTATAAACCATCAAATATTAAAAGCATGTTATGCATAACAAATAATTGAAATCATACTTTTACATTGATGGTTCACAGTATTTAAACCTCTGTAGTGCTTTCAAGAAAAAGGAAACACCCTGATATTTATTACCAAGAAGTAATTGGTTCAATATTGTATAAATCAATTCTTTCAAAATGTTCTAAAGACATCTTGATGCTTTTCCACATCATTCTCATGTGTTAAATGAAGAAAAGTTTGAAAGGAATGGAGAAAATCCATACTCGAAAATTGGAAAATATTTTCGTGATTGTGTCAATATAGAAGGAAATTGGCAAGATAAAAAATAGGGTGAATATTTAATTGACCTCAGTATTGTGCCTACTTATAATTGGTATGGCCTCTTTGCGAGTATTTGGGTTGAAATTTGCCAAAGTTGCCACTCATGCCAATGAACTCACTTTGCCCCTTCTTATGAAATCTGACAACTGTGATGAACTTCAAGTCAGACCACTGAACTCGTTATTCAACATTCACCTGTTCGTTGTCTGTATATCAATCTGCCCTACCGTTGGTCAGAGACTACGGCCTCCAGACTTTAGGAAAATCCGAAGGACGAAAAACCTGAACCCTAGCTTTAAGCCCTAGAATGGTGCTTTTCGTTTTCCTCAGTAAGTGTGAGTGCTCCTCCGCATCTGATGTGTAGTGAGGAAGTCGAATCGGGCGATTGAATTGGTTTCGTGACCGGTGCGGCAATGGCGAGTTCAGATTGTTCTCAGAAAGCTGCAGATCTAGTAGGAATTTTTTGTTCGAAACTGGGAAAGAATGCAGGAGCTGTTGATGGTGTAAGTGGAATTGGAGGTGTGTGCAGAGCCGTTGCAACCTCCGCGGGTGCAGTGAAGCTTCTCGGGACGACGGAGGATGTGAAATCCGAAGTCGAAAAATGGCTCGAGCTTGCAGACGAGGTGTGCAAAGCGACGGATGTGAATGCGAAGCTGCAGGAGTTGAATGCGCATCTGGAGACGCGGTCGGTATTTGCAGGCAGGGGTATGGCCATCACTGTAGCAGACTTATCAATGTTTGCTGCTGTTCACGAGATTCTAGACGAGAAGAAATATGGAGATTTAGAGAAGGTGCCACATCTTTTGAGGTGGATTGACTACATCCAGGGTAAGCAGGCAGTGTATCCGCAAGTACCTGTAAGTTTACCAGCTTTTAATCCTCCGAAACCAGCTCCGCGAGCTGCCAAGCCTGTGAAGGAGGACGGTGCTGGTGGTGCCAAATCTGGTAACGCAGCGGCAGATGGCAAAATCAAGGAAGAGAAGAAGAAGAAAGAGAAAGCCCCGGCGGTGAAGAAAGAGAGCGACACCTCCTTCAGCGTGTTAGATATCAGAGTAGGCGTCATCAACAAGGTCTGGAAACACCCGGGAGCCGACGCATTGTATGTGGAAGAGATTGACATTGGTGAAGCTAACCCGAGACAAATTGTTAGTGGCTTAGCAAAGTTTCTTACGGAAGAGCAAATGTTGAATCGGAAGGTGATTGTTCTTACCAATGTGAAGGCTGGCAAAGTTCGAGACGTCCTTTCTTCAGGTCTCGTATTGTGTGCGTCCAATAGTGATCATACACAATGCGAGCCGGTTGTGCCTCCATCGGACGCCAAAATTGGTGAGAAGGTGACTGTGGCAGGGTTTGAAGGTGCCCCTGAGGAGGTTCTCAATCCTAAGAAGAAGCAATTCGAGAAGATCCAACCGGATTTGAAAACTGACGCTACTGGTGTAGCGTGTTATCAAGGAGTTCCCTTCATGCTTTCAGGAAAGCCTTGCACTTCAAGTATAGTGAATGCAATAGTCAAGTAATTATACAGCGTTTTCTTCTTCTTCTTTTTGTCACGGAAACACAATTGAACATTGGTATTGATTTGCTATTCTCCATCCTTGACTTTATTTCACTGATAACCTTCCACTATATCTGCGCTTGCTTTTTGTGCTGCTCAGTGGTTGTGACTAGGTCACAATCGTTGCATTTCTGCGACGAGGAAAATCTACTGGTGTGTAGAAACTTAGATGGTGTTTCCTAAAGGTGATTTAAGTTTGAAGGAGCTTTGTTGACAATAGTGCATCTTCATTTCGTTGCAAATTCTGTTCCTTCCATGCTTCTGGTGTTGTGCGAACTGAAGTTCAGTTATGTCAACAAACAGCTTGTCGTATGATCCACAGTTTTCATTATCAACAGGGGCACCTAGGATTGCAATGTGTACACTCGTAAATACTCACTCATTCTGCATTATGCGTTCAAATCAGTATGAGACTAACATTTTCTTAGAGCTTCAGCAGCAGCTCACTCACACAACCCTTTGAATTCGGGTATTTGTTGCCTTTTCTTGACGGGCAAGGTACTTGCTACAATTTTCTCAGAGCTTCGGTAGCATGACAGAATTCTTGGTTCCGACCGCTAGATACATTTTTTTTTCTTTATTTATTTATTTTTATTTTATAAGATAAGGTGAAATTCTCCTAAGTTTTCCCCAGGGGATCAATTTCTCCGTTAACACACATCGTTTGGTAAGCACTGGATTATGTTGGTTCGTTCATCTTATCTTAAAGTACGTCTGCGTGAGTGCATTTCCTCTCATGGATTGGTCAATTGTGCAGAGCTTTCATTTCACGTTTCTCTATCAGATGCTGGTGTGAATAGAACATGATTTAACAATGAGACTCGTAATGCAACTACCGGATGAGATCACCAGATTCATGGCAACACCAGCTTTAGCCTCTGCTAAACACCCCCTTCATGTTTCAAGAGCAGTCACAGTGAGTGGAGACAAGGACCTTCTCCAGGTACAGTGACTTCGAGTGGGATCAACCTTCTCAAGCCATGCGCAATCAACCTTCTCAATCCCACTCGAAGCCTCTGTACCTGAAGATGCGACCAAGCGAGATAGTTGTTCAAGCGCACTTTTCGTGAACTGCAGCTCCTTGTAGACGGCGTCCTTGGCTTGCCTCTACAACACCCAATTTCATCGATGCCTGCAGTACTCCAGATGAAAATGCACCAAGATATCTAACTAAACCCTAAACCGCTACTAAGTCTATGCCCAAAGCTTCCAGCATGAGACATCTTCAGGTGAATTCTAACAACTTAAGTAAAGGTCTATGCTTGAAGAACAATCAGGATTGTTTCTCTATTACAAAAACAAGGAAAGAAACTGAGGATTTACACAACTATGACTGGAAGTGAATCAGAACGTTCGAAACTAAACCTGAAGCAGGAAGTATCAACAAGCATTTGTGAGCCATGACTGTACAAGTTGCGGCACAAAGGGCTGTGAGCTCTACAGCCCGAGGATTCATTCATCCTTGGCAAGAGTTGCACCAAACCGGAAAATCGGTTCCCCGAAGGCGTCAGAAAAGGCAATGGCAATCACTGGCTGAGGACCATCGTCCTGGAATTGGCTCCACATCTGAACAATCGAAACCTAAGACAGCTTGAGCCTCTACTGCAACCACGATTGCTACCATCCTACTCCTCCATCCTGTCAGCAATTCCAAAGGTCAGTATCCGTGCCAAGATCTTTTTTCAAATCATGCAATTTACTACGTTATTTCTGAATGATTGGGTATCCTTCATCTACTCCTCATATTTCTGAACTGAACTCTGTAACTAGAACCCGATCCTTGGCTGCATGAAATCTATGTTTTAATAGCAAGGTTTAATCCAATTCTCTCGGTACACGGATGCGTCCTAAGAGTATGACGAGGTTTGGCACACAGATTTTGACACCGACTCTCTCAATAAAGTCACTTACACACCCTGGAGACCAGAACAGCCAATTTGTTGGTATATATAAAATTACAAGCTGGAGCAGGTGAGACAAGCAGGCAATTGGAATGGATGTCGCAGGTGAACAGGGAGGGTTAATCTGAGTACTTGCGAATGCTGGTCCAGCAAGTACTTACAAGCAAACTGGAGCCGGGATCCTATTATTAGGTTTTTATCGTCGGTTAGATGCAGTCGCGTAGGGGCCATGGGATATTCGTGGGTCCTTTTTTAGACCCAGGTATGACCCCACCCGCCGAGGACACTGAAAATTCTGACAGATGGTATATAAGGACGAAGAGAGGAGGGGCGGAACGGAATCTTCACAATCCCGCTCTCGTCAAGGTTTAGGGTTTAACAGCAGGCTCTCAAATTCCATTCTCTCTTTCCTTTCTCTGCGCCTTTGCTTTGCGCTTCTACTTGCTGGACCAGGGACCATGGCTATGGCAGCTGCCGCAGCTGTGGCCTCCCAGGGCCTGGTTGCAGCATCAACCCAGCAGCAGAAGAAGACGTCCGCCAAGTTGAGCTGCAATGCTGCTCCTGTGTTTTCGGGGAAGAGCTTTCTCAGGGTGAAGAGCGGTAGCAACGGCGCAGTGAGAGTGCGCAATGTTGGGGTGCGGTGCGAGGCGCAGGCTATTGAGAGAGAGTCTGTGAAGGCGGACACGGGCTCTGGTCGCGAGGAGGACGCATTCAGTGGGCTGAAGCAGGTGTGCGCTGTATTGGGTACGCAGTGGGGCGACGAAGGAAAGGGAAAACTTGTGGACATCTTAGCCCAGCGCTTCGATGTTGTTGCTCGTTGTCAGGTGATGCAATCCTTCATATTTCTACGTGATTTCGTTTCTGTATTCGTGTTCTTTTATTCATGGGTCGTCTTTCCATCTTTGAAGACGCTAAGGTTGCGGTGTCCTTTGTGTTCCAAGCGCTGGTCAATTTCACTCTGTCCCTTTTTGGCGAAGTTCCCGTCTTTGCCATGTTTTATGTCGTTCTTTTGTGATTTTGCAATCTTTACTGTGGTTTTGCTCCCTGCCGATACTCGAGATGTGTAATGCGACTTCTATACCTGCCGTTAAATCCTTTATTCGTCTTCGTGTAATTGCTGCGTGATTATGCCTGAGTTTATAGTCCGTCTTCTGTCATTGTAGCGCGTGAAGATACACATAACTCTATGATTCACCTGAATCATGCCTGTGGGCATTCATGAGTGACACTTCTTCACCTGATGTTACTTAAGTTCTCTGTTCTTCTTTCTGAAAGTTATATTTCGTCTTCTGTGGAGTTGTCTAGTTGTAGCGCATGATGATACACACAATTCGATGATTCACCTGAATCATGCCTCAGAGCATGCGGGAATGACACTTCTGCGCCTGATGCTACACTAGTTTCTAATTCTTGTCAAGTATTCTGTGAATTGGTTTGGACGTAGCGCGTGGTGATAGACACAAATCGATGATTCACCTGAACCATGCTTGGGGCATGCGTGAGTGACACTTCTGCACCTGATGCTACATAAGTTCTTAGTTCTTGATTGTGTAAATTGTTTTGTATCCTCTGTGAAGTGGTTTGATTTTAGCGCATGATGATACATACAACTCGATGATTCACCTGAACTATGCCCTTTTGGCATGTATGAGTGACAGTTCTGTACCTGATGCTACTGCCATATTATTGATTCTTGTAAATTCTTGGATAATCTACTTCCAGTTGATTTTGTGGCGCTTGATGTTCATCTCTCAATGATTCACCAAACTGTTGGCATTCGTAAGGCTCCCTTGCGTGAGTGCACTTGACGACTCTCTCATTCATCATCTTCTCCTTAAAAGATACACCCTTTGTAGCATCCCAGATGAGTTGTAGATTTAGCGCATGATGATACGCAAAATTCGATGATTCACCTGAGCCATGTCCTTCATTGGTCATGAATGAGTGACACCTTTGCATCTGATGCTTCATATGATTTTCTTTCTCAATTTGACCTAGTGTTTCGTCCGCTGCTAATTGGGGCCGTCATAGTGCATGATAGCACACAAATCTTGATGATTCACCTGCACTGTGTTCTGTCAGGAACATGTGAGTGACACGTCGGTATGTTGTCTATTCTTAATTCATGTTCTCAACTCTATGGTTCATGCCTCTTCTTCTGCTAATTGTCGTGGTTGTAGTGGATGATGTTCTACTCAACTCGATATATCACCTGAGTCGTGTCTTTATGTGGTCATGTGTGAGTGACACTTCTGTGCCTGAAGCTACACATCTATTGCTAGAAATTCCCAATAACTGTGTGAGTTCCTGGAGCGAAGCTTTTTATTTCCCTTCTACAGGTTTAACGTAGGTGTCCTTCCCGTTCTATTTATTAAAGTAACTTAAGAGGTTTTATTCTTTGTCCTCATTTTTACACTTGTTATTATGTTTGTCTGGTTACTCAGGGGGGTGCAAATGCTGGTCACACGATCTACAACGACAAGGGCGAGAAGTTTGCACTTCACTTGGTACCTTCAGGGATCCTTAATGAGAAAACGACGTGCGTAGTTGGCAATGGAGTAGTGATTCATCTTCCAGGTAGTCTATCATCCGTGAGTTACTACATGTTAGCCATGCTTTCTCTGTGTTCAAGATTTAGGAATGAAATTCGTGTAACAAGAGGCCGAAAACAAAATGGTATCTCGTATTGACTTACTTTTCCTTACACCATTATTCGTCCTGTGCAGGATTCTTCAAGGAGATCGATAACCTAGAGTCTAAGGGTGTCAATACCTCCGGCCGACTGCTTGTGTCTGACCGTGCGCATCTGCTCTTCAACCTGCACCAAGAAGTCGATGGTCTACGTGAAGCCGAGCTAGCAGGCCAAATGATTGGGACCACTAAGCGTGGAATTGGTCCCTGCTATGCTAGTAAGGCCATCCGCAATGGTATCAGAGTAGGTGATCTTCGCCACCTCGATACATTCCGGGAAAAGCTGGACATTCTTTTCCGTGATGCTGCTGCTCGGTTCAAGGGGTTTGAGTACTCTGCCGCAGCAGTGGATGCCGAGATGGAGATGTATGTCAAGTATGCTGAGAGGCTGGAACACTACATTGTTGACACTGTGGATTATGTCAACACTGCTTATGCTGAAGGCAAGCGCATCTTGATTGAGGGAGGCCAGGCTACCATGCTCGATATTGATTTTGGAACATATCCTTTCGTCACATCCTCAAATCCTTCTGTTGGAGGAATTTGCACTGGTTTGGGAATGGCACCCAACCGCCTTGGTGACATTGTCGGTGTGGTACGACGCTTATCTTCCTTGTGGTTTTCTTTTCTTTTGCAAGTCCCTTCACGGCCTGGCTAATTGGTCTGGCGACCAGGGCTGCTTGGAATCCTCTATCATTTATGTTCACCAAATTCTACATTTTCCCCTGTGCAGGCGAAGGCGTACACAACCCGTGTGGGCTCGGGGCCTTATCCTACAGAGCTCTTTGGGGAGGAAGGAGAGGAGCTCCGCAAGGCTGGGTTTGAGTGGGGAACCACCACTGGCAGGCCTCGTCGCTGTGGCTGGCTGGACATAGTCGCCCTAAACTTTGCCTGTACCATAAATGGCTTTACTGCCATCAATCTCACGAAGCTTGACGTTCTATCTGGGCTGCCTGAGGTAAAGTTGGGAGTTGCCTACAGAACTCAATCTGGCGAGAAGCTGAGGTCGTTCCCAGCTGATCTATCTATCTTGGAGCAAGTCGAGGTTAGTTCTGCTCCTAAAATTTCTACACTATCAACATGTTCATTGATTAGGCGTCTTAAATTTTTTTAAAGCACTCTGCCTTCACTTAGCATTAACGAATGTGTTCATTCTGTATTCAAGTACTAATTCTACTTCTAGGAGTTTCCCATTCGCTTATTCTTTGGTCATGGATGTGTGTATGAGTAGGTTGAGTACGAAACCTTGGAAGCTTGGAAAGAGGACATCACGAAAGTGAGATCATATGCCGAGCTGCCAGTTGCTGCTCAGAAATATGTGGAGAGGATAGAAGAACTTATTGGATTACCATGCCAGTATATTGGTGTGGGTCCTGGGCGAGATGCATTGATTGTGAAGCAGTAGTTGCTGCCTTAGCCGTAGAGAGTTTCCAGCTGCTGGATATGTGTAGTGCTGGGGCTTCCAAGATTGTTTGATCTCTTTACTAGCCACATCATTTTGATGTGCCACTTGTCACTCATTTTGGTATTGCTCTTTAATAAACTAGTCTTTCCTTTTCCCTTTTACTATGACCTTCAGCCCTCAGGAAGTTTTGTTTTAAAATCGATGTAGCTATTTTGTATTCAACATAGATTTTTGGGGTGCCGTGTAACAACTGTTTCAAACTTCTGCAGTGATTACTTGAAATAGCTGTAACTTGGTTCCTTAGAAGCATGTTTTCTTAACAATATTTTCTTGATAGAACTACAGCATGTTTTCTGAGGTATACAATACAAGGTTAAATGAACTTGTAAAAATTTGCTCAACTACTATATTTCCTCTTCTTATATCTACAATGAATATTGGAAATTATATAGTAGTAAGTATTTTTCAAGCTTGAGAGATATATGTTTATATATTTATATATATTCTTTGTTACATCATTTTTCAGGAGTTAATGATGTAACAATCATTGATGCCATTGTAGACATCTCCAAATTTATTTGTTCATCAATGCATTGAGCCCAAATTTTCATTTGAATGAATTGTTTATTTGAGAATAAAAGTTAGCACTACTTTACAAGTAAAAATAATTCTCGTTGCAATAATTAAAACGTTACGGCTTAGAATGTAGTTTCTAATCAGTAATTGATAACATATCTTGTGTCAAACTACATACATAGAGGAGCAGTGGCAAATAACTGAGCAAAATAGTGATTAAAGGTTAGCTAGTCAGTTATACTAATGAATAGAGAAGTTCATCAGTTGAAGTCCAGGTAGACTTTGAACTGAGAAGAGAGAGAGACCATTTTAGCACCAACTCTCTATATCAGGCTTTGTCTTACTCATGCACTAATGCAATGTCTCTATTTGGTGGATTCTAGTGTTTTCAGCAAGTCACATGTGGAGAGTGGTGAACAATGCCATGAGGATAGTGTTGAACAAATCCTTGCTGCAGGATAAAGTAGAAGAAGTGCAAAACAAGAAACTTGAAGAAGAGTTGCTGTAGAGGAGAAGCTAAATGCAAGTTTGAGTCACAGCTTTGTCAAAGATCTGGTGCTCCATTCAAATTCAGTAAAAGTTAAGAACTGTTGATATGAAGTAGCTTGTTAGAATGGAATAGCTTAATAAAGGTTGAAGTATGGGAGAATTTCTTTAAAGAATTAGGTGGTAGGATAATAGATTCAATAAGCATAACCCTAAAGCTTTAGCTTTGTCTCATAAAATTACAAGAAAGGATTTGTGGATACCTACAAAGTCTATTCCACAATGGATAAAAAAAAGATTGTTGAGCTTATGATGGGCATTTATATGATGCCTAATTACTCTCTTAATTCACCTAGTTTGAGAAACTCTAGAGGTTTGGTTAAGATATTTGCTATTATATCATGCATTGAAATACACTAATCATCAATGTGTCCTTGTGCATGTAATTTTTGAACAAAGTAATAATAAAGATCAATATGCTTTGTATTTTTGTATACATGACTAATTGTTATAAAAAAAACTTTACAGGTTGATTGGTTGATATGTCCAATTCTTGTACCATTTTTTGCAAGTACTCAATATGCTTTGTATTTTTGTATACATGACTAATTGTTAAAAAAAATCTTTATAGGTTGATTAGTTGATATGTCCAATTCTTGTACCATTTTTTGCAAGTACTTAACATTGCTTGCAATATCAAAGGTGATTCTATATTCAACCTTGGCAATACATTGTGATACAATAGATTACTATTTGTTAAAAGCACTAATAGTAGAAATTCCAATTTTATACACAATATTGGTTACTAAGTGTCTAATATCTTTATTCCTTTCATAATTTGTATCTATCAAAGTAGTGAACTCTAAAATGTTATGTTTAAAATACAAAATGTTATAATTTAGCATCTCTTTTAAGTAGCACAAAATATATTTTGTTATGTCTAAATATAAATGTTGAGGAGTAGTAGCAAATTTGAAACAAAAACCAACTACAAATTCGATGCCATAATTTATTGTAATCAAGCAAAGGCTTTTGACTAAAGTCTATTACTCATAATGATCACACTCATGTAATTAAAAGTACCATCTTTGGATTCATAAAAATATTTGAAGATTTGCAATTATTCATGCCAAATCTTTCTAATATTTGAATAATATATATTTGTTGATGCATCCATATGCTATCTTTGATTCTAAAGATTTTTCCTCTTAGATAGAGCTCTACATCTCCTAAATCCAACATTTTAAATTTACCTATGGATTCAAGCCTAATCCGGTGGACTTTTGTATCATCATCACCAATAAGTAGATCATAAATATAAAATAGAAGCATAACAAATTTGATATTTTTTTAATATATATATATATATATATATATATATATATGTTCTAATTTGTTGTATTTTTAACCTATTTCAAAATAACTAATATCTCATCTAGCTATATTAGGATTGCAAAATTTGTTTTAGTATGTATAAGACTTTTTAGAAAAGATACATCATGCAATGATTATTAAGAGATAAAAAAAACCAAGTAAAATCATTATATAAATTGCTAGGTCAAGATTTTTGTTTAAAAAAGATGTCTTCACATCAAGGTAATAAATCTTTTAGTTTATTGAAGGTTCAAGTGTAATTTTTTTTTTTTTTATAATTTTCTATTATATAAGTGGTGCATAAATAGCAAAATAATCAACATCTTCTTGTTGTTTCTTTTCTTGAACAACCAATTTTACTTTGTTCTTTTATTTCTAATCATTACCATTAAATTTAGTTTTGAAAATCTATTTGTCAAAGATGAGATATCTTACTCCATACTCTCTTTGTAAACAACCTTACTGATGCTATGTATTGTGACTTCAAAGTTATTTTTCAATATACACAGAAGTAAGAGTGATGCCTTCCTTACTCTTATCAACTTCTTTTTTGCTTCTAGTTTGGTTTCAAGAATCTCCAATTTTTTCATCTTTTGGCAATAATCATTTCAATTTCTTTTTAAATATACATATTTACTTATTTCTTTTTTGTATTATTTCTTTGATAATTGTATCACTTTTTTATTTATATTCCTTAAGTTCTTATCTTTGACATATGTCCTTAGTTGTGTGTCAATTGTATTAATATAATTGACATAATAGTCTTTATAAAAAATTAAAGTTTTAAGTTTTTCTTGGATATTAAGTTGTAAGAACTGGATAGAATTTAGTTTCTATTAAGAATGATTCAAAGATAAACAAGGATATAATCTCAAATATAGTCTACATGTATTTTAAAGGAAATATTTATTTAGAGCACATGGTACACAAGTGACCGCTTGACAATCTTAAAGTGACTTTGTTGCAATATGTGTAGAATTGCTTTCATGTATTTTTTTCACTCTACTTGCTTCTGATTCTACAATAACTTCTTTTACTTTACTTGTAAATATCAAAGTTAAATTAATGTGGGCATAAGATAAAACAAATATTATCTTTTAAAATAGAAATACTAAGCTCTTGGAAGCAATTCCAAAATTCTTTAAGGCCACAACTATTATAGCCTAAAAATAAATTTATTAAAAGTAATGTCATGACTTATAACAATTTTCTTTGAGGTAAATAGATAGGTTATGTATGCTTTGGATAATTCATTATATCTTATAAACATGCCTTTTATAGTCTTGTTTGTAAGTCTTTTTTTCTTTTTTTTTTATAAACATGAAAATATGCCATACATCTTTAAATTCTTATATGAACAACTTTTAGAATTAATTTGGAATATTGAATTTTTGGTGTGACTTCTAAATTTATACAAGTAGGATATCTATTAATTAGATAATTTACAATGTTTGCACCCTCAAACCATAAGAACCAAAGGGCTTCACTTTCATGCATCAAGTAGCAAGTCTTTTCAATTACGGATTGATTGTGTTGTTTAGTTGCTCTATTTTACTATGGAATCTTAACCCACAATAATTTTCTTCCAATTCCATATTAATTGCGATAATCTAAGAATGCTTTAGAAGTAAATTCACTTGTGAAAGTTAGCAACTACCTCTCACTTATTAACTTCACCAACCTAAATATTTCTACTCTCAAACTATTTAGCCATTTCCAAATCTATACTTCTTTTCAACCTTCTATAATGTAGAAATTCCAAACTAGATTTTTATTGTAGACATCTAAGTAATCAATAATTATAACTCACTTAATTGTATTCTTCTAAACACATAAAGAAGCGATTATTTACCTATGACTTGCTAGATCTAATATTAACATGTAGACATCAATATAAGAGGAGAGAAAAATCATTTAAGCACCAACATAGAAGGCAAAACTATTCTTAAAGTGATTATTTAGATATATTAAATATATGTAGTAAATATTTGTTTTAACCATACAATTGGTTATCATTCATTAATATAGAAAAACCAATTGAGTTTCAATTGATAAAAGGACTTATATTGATAATATAAATAAACATGTTGTAGCAATGTTTTGTTGATAAAACTTTTTAGAATACTTGTTTGTTGTAGTAGTTCAAAGATAATAAAGACAATTAAATAATAGTAAAATCAAACTAGTGACAATAAAAATTAACTAAAGATACACTACTTCAAAATAATTGCACTAAATGAATAGAGAAAAATACAACTTATTTGAATGCATGAGGGTTTGAATCTAGAACCTTGGAATTTTCAAAACCTCACTTATCAATGATACTAGAATCTCTAGCTAATGCTTTCAACTATTACATCTAACAAAACACAACCAAATTTTTTTTTGTTTGGTGGACACAACCCTGCACTCAAATGTGCCACCTTGTGGATGATAAAATTCATGGATAATTAGCCACAAGGTCAAGTCGAAGGATGAATTTCTATCAAAGCTCTTCAAGCTGGAGCTTGAAATTATTATGTGCGGGTGAGAAAATGCTGTGGGCAGAAGACTCATTTAGTCTGGTTTTAAGCAACAGCACTTTTTAAAAGCAGACCCCCACATTGCCACCACGAAAGCAGGGGAAAAATATCGAACAAGAAAAAGAAAAAACAAAAGAAAAGAGAAAAGGTTGCATAACGATGAATCTGTAAAAGAAACAACAGGATCTCTCCGGAGAGCGAGGGAGGTCGCAATGAGGCCCCAAACGGTCGCTGGTTCTGTTACTTCGTCAAGACGCCGGTGGACGAATCTGGCACTGGATTGGGTTTGCCCCCCTTGGACGCGGTGGCGATGGCGATGGCCCTTTGCACACAGCAGCAACACCGCGAAGAGGGCAAAGAGTGATGGGATCAACCCCAACGCAACCCGAGAATCATCGCAACCAGAGCATACCCTAAAACGTAGGAATGGAAAAAAGGGCACCTTTGGAACACTGACAAAGAGGAGGCCAAGCAACAACGATGCCCGGGGCACCGATGCCCTCGTCCGGTGGGCAGGATCCCCCATCCACAGTGTCAGCCGTGAAGCGGCGACCCCCTGGCCCTGCCCCCCACCCGCCATACCCGACCCGTTAACTTCAAAGCTGCGCTGATTCTCTCTCCCACACAGGCCTATCACATTGTTTTGCCCATTTGGCATCAAGACATTGCGATATCTTCCACGCTGGTGCTTCTTCTCAATCCTTTTCTCTCGCTTACCCACCTTGTGTATTGCTCGCATTCTGACTCTACGGTGAGGTTCTTGGTGGGTTTTTGTTCTACTGTCAGTTTTTTGAGATTTGTCCTATCGTTTTGGAGGTGTGGATTCTCTTTATTTGGAGAGTGGGCGGTGTTTGGTTTGCGTTGTTGTGGTGTGTACGTTTTGTTGCATTTTGGGTGTGTGGTGGGCATATTAGCGTTGTTGGTGTAGAAGGTTGGTAGGGCTTAGATTTGCATTGTTTGACTGGGAATGGAGGTGTTTTCTGTTGTGGGTTTTGATGGAGGTTTTTGTGGTGTGGCAGAGTTTTTCTGTGGGTTCTCGAGAAGGATTTGAGCAATGGCGGAAGCAGTTGCTGCCGGAGTGGGGGTGTCGAGAATCGGTCTGGCTGGTTTGGCCGTCATGGGCCAGAACCTAGCCCTGAACATTGCGGAGAAGGGGTTCCCAATATCCGTGTACAATCGGACGGACTCTAAGGTTGATGAGACTGTGGAGCGGGCGAAGGAAGAGGGCGATTTGCCTCTGGTTGGATTCAAGGATCCCAAGGAGTTTGTGTTGTCCATCCAGAAACCCCGCTCCATCATCATTCTGGTGAAAGCTGGCGCGCCTGTTGACCAGACCATCCAGACTCTGTCGCAGTACATGGAGCCTGGCGATTGTATCATTGACGGAGGGAATGAGTGGTACGAGAATACCGAGAGGAGGGCGAAGCAGGTTGCTGAGAAAGGGCTGTTGTACTTGGGAATGGGAGTCTCGGGTGGAGAGGAAGGAGCCCGTAATGGACCTTCTATGATGCCCGGTGGCACAGAGGAGGCCTACCATTATATCGAAGATGTGGTCTCGAAGGTCGCCGCCCAAGTTGACGATGGGCCGTGTGTGACATATGTAGGCCAAGGCGGGGCCGGAAACTACGTTAAAATGATTCACAATGGAATCGAATATGGTGACATGCAGCTGATCTCGGAGGCTTACGATGTGTTGAAGTCAGTCGGAGGATTGACAAATGAAGAATTGCATGAGACTTTCGCTGAGTGGAATGAAGGAGAACTGGAGAGTTTCCTGGTTGAAATCACTCGTGACATTTTCTCCGTCAAGGATGACAAGGCTGAGGGATTCCTTGTCGACAAAATCCTCGACAAGACGGGCATGAAAGGAACTGGGAAGTGGACCGTGCAGCAGGCCGCGGAGCTTTCCATTGCGGCTCCCACCATTGCTGCTTCACTTGATTCTCGTTTCCTTTCAGGGTTGAAGGAGGAGCGCCTGGAAGCGGCACGTATATTCAAGGAAGCCGGAGTTGATGATATCATAGCTGTGAAGAACCTTGACAAGAAAGTGCTCGTCGATGACGTTAGAAAGGCTCTATATGCCTCCAAAATCTGTAGCTATGCGCAAGGCATGAACCTCATCCGTGCCAAGAGCATTGAGCAAGGCTGGAACCTTAACCTCGGTGAGCTCGCCCGCATCTGGAAGGGAGGCTGCATCATCAGGGCCAAATTTCTCGACCGCATCAAAAAGGCTTACGACCGCAACCCTGAGCTCGCATCTCTTCTGATAGATCCCGAATTCACCAAGGAGATGGTGGAAAGACAATCTGCATGGCGCCGAGTGGTGTCTCTGGCTATTGAGGTCGGTGTGTCTACTCCCGGTATGACTGCCAGTCTTGCATACTTCGACACGTATCGGAGAGGTCGCCTTCCAGCCAACCTCGTCCAAGCTCAACGGGACTACTTTGGTGCCCACACATACGAGCGTATTGATATGCCCGGATCTTACCACACGGAGTGGTTTAAGATTGCCAAGCAATTCGTGAACTCCAAGACCCCTGTGAAGGCCTCGGCTTAGATAAACTCCCAAGATATGAGTCAATTCTCAAGTATCCTCTGGTACTCCCTTCGAAGAGGTCCATAAATTAGGTGAGCTATTCGCATCTGTACAATTAGAGGTGGTGGACCTGGTCTGGTCTTTAGCAATTGGTTCTAGACATCAATCAAATTTTGTACCTTTTGTCTGGGCAAGTTATTAGTTAGGTGCTAGCTTTATGTGGTGTTGTGATGAGAATCTGATAAGGGAATGAGAATGGTTCGCTCTACCATCATTCGCATTCAGCGTGCTGCGCACTCCATCATGACGTTTCATTCATGATGGATCCTCAAGTGCATAGGTACTCTGGTATGTAGCATTTGAACATTGTATTGAATTCTCAATTGTAACCGAGCTTGTAACCGAACCTATTGAAACACGTTTTGAAATTTTACTGTTTTCTTTTCATTGCATCGTCGCTTATGAGGCTTGTTGTGATATCCTGTTAGCCCTCTCTTCATGCTGGAAGCAAATTTGGTTTGTGGTTTCCTTTTTCGGCCACCCTGAGCCGCCTCAGTTCTGTAAAGCTTTTCCCTAGGTCTATCTCAATCATGTTCATGGGGATTTTCGTTGATGGCATTGCGCTGGTAACGAATTACATTACGATCTTCCTTGTCCTGTCTTACCCATAGAGGTTGTTTCAACTCAATTGACTCCTCGTCATTGTAACTAAACAAATTTCCCGGTCTACGAGTCTTAGATGTTGAGAAAGTAGGTTCATCTGGAAGATAGTTGCCGCAACAAATCTCACCACCTGCGAAAGAACTTTCCAAAAGAGAACTAAGAGTATTCACGGAGGAAAGAGACAGTGGTCGCAGAGTGTGGAATGTGGGTCCAGAGCATCGTTGGCAGGCACTAAGTATATAACATTTCCACTCAGTAAATCGCTGCATGACACTAATTTATGTTATCAACCAGATCACCAAGGACCTCTAATATAAAAGACAGAGCCTCACGGCCACTACAAGAAATTCAAGCGCATTGCAGTTGTAAGCGTATTGTCGACAGTGTTGAAAAATGTATCAAATACTGAAATAGAGCTTGAGCCTAGCTGCGCACGCCTTCACAACAACAATAGAAATAGTTCAAATACGTGAAAGATTGTGTCTAAAACTTTGAGTCATAGTGAGGAAGTGATTCAAACCCCCCTACAATGAAACTGGGAAGAACTTCTCAGTTCTCAGGTGCAGGTGTCATCACTTTAGTTCTGACAGAGGTTAGACTTTAATAAATTTCTTGTATTTCTCAAAGATTTGTAGACATTTTTACAAAATGTAAGAATGGAATACAGGATTTTGGGCTAAACAAATGCTTTCTTGATTGTTGCACTAGACACATATCTTGAATTGTTCTAATGGTTGCCTTGGCAAGGTCAGAATGAATTTTTGCTTTCTTACATTTGAGTGGAACCTTAATAATAGGATATGAAGCTTCATAACCAATTCAAATAGAAAACTTCTTTAATTGTTTTCAAGAACACCTTGTAACACATGGTGTTATTACAAACTGTAGATTGTCATTTACTTAACCATGCAATTTGACTTAATGTAAGGCAAAATATACTATATTCTATTAAAAGAAAATCTCTAAAGAATTCAAGTAGTTTGGATAGTTGAATCAATCTAAAATAATATTTGATGTATATTTATAGTAAATTATATATATATATATATATATATATATAGTATAAGATGTATTTCAGAACATCACGGTGTTGTTGATGCCAAGACACAAAAAATTTAATAATTTCAACAGAGTAAGATAGGTATACATATGTATTAGTGAAAAATAAAAGCTTGTCCATAATTTGATAGTATTCTATTGTGTCAATAAATAGAATATTAGGTTTTAATTAAATGGTGAAATATTTTAGAAATAGAATGTATATAATATAACTCATGTACATGCCAAAACTAATAAACATTTGTTTACAATAAGTCTTGTGATGCAAAAACATTAAATTTCTATCTTTAAAAATTCAACTACCAAGTAATTTTTAATCTCTCCTAAGTCCATTTCATACTTGGCCTTGAGTTCTTACTTCTTAGTAACAATCTTTGGTTGGTAATTTTTTGTAACAAATAAGTCATCAACATATAATAGGAGTAAAACAAGAGTTGAACCATTTTAAAGAAAATATAAATTAAGATTGATCTTATTTCTAGACTATTCTTAAAATCATAAGTGTCAATTTTTTAAACTTAAAAAAAAATTGCATAATTATCATTTTTTTAGTACGACATCAAAAAAGGTAATCATTGCATTAATGTGGTTGATTGGATGACCAACAACAATAACTAAAGTAATTATAATTTTAAGTTTAGACCACCTAACTATTAGTACAAAGGTATTGCTATAATCAATGCCATGTTTTTATTCCAAACTTCTAACTACTAATCTAACCTTTAAACAAATTATAATAGAATTAAGCTTATGAAAAATTGACTTAGTTTTATACATCAACTTGAAGGATACCACATGTCTTCAAAAAGACAATTCAATAAACTCTCAAGTATTGATCATGAGAAGTAACTTCAATTCTTCTAGCATGATTATATTCCATCTAAGATTCTTTGAGATTTCATATAACTAAAATAATATTACTAGTAAAATCTATAATCTCTATTATATAAAAATAGATATTATTTGAAATATATGGCTTGTAATTATAAATATTTATTAAAAAATATCAAATTCAAGATGACTTTTGTATTGGTTAAAAAAATTATCGAAGAATAATACTTGAGTTCGTCATTTTTATTTTAAATTAATTTATTCCAATCTTTTTAACTTGATACAATGGACATACATATTTACTCTAATATTTATTTACGTGATTAAATAGAAGTAGGTAAAAGTAGATTTATTTCATAATATTTTCTAAAGAAGCTTATTAGAAGTTTTATAGATGATGCTTTGACTTTACATGTGTTTGTAGTTGATTGATAGGTTAGAAACTTGGTCAACAAATTACCCACATGTTGGTAGCTTATAAAAAAAAGCTAATTATATAGCGTACATATAAGAAACTTTTCGTGCAAGTTAAGATATGTGTCTTGCAAAGTCAACAAGTTTTGGAGGTCCTATAAGACATTGCCATGTGGCTCCTAGTTAAGAGTATATATGGAGGCAAGAGTGAAGCCTTCTTTACTCTTGTCAATGCCTTTCTAGTCTTTACTCTTGTTTTAAGTCTTTCTAGTCTTCTTATCTTTGAAAATAGCCATTCTAATTTAATACTATATTATCTTTGAGTGACTTTTTAATTCTTTTGATTGACACAAGAGTGTATTGAGGATTTCTTTCTTCGAGCTTCATGTCCTTGACATTTAATTTGCTACTATTTTCTTTTATTTTTTATTAGGATGTTGATTTTGTTTTGATTAAAGCTCTACCTTTGATTTATTATAGTAAGTTGGACTAGCAAGATCAAAGTCTAATAATCCTAAAACAAAACATAGATCATTGAAGACATTAAAAAATTCTTGACTAAAGTATCTTAAGTTTTCAAAAAGATTTTTGGAAGATATTGTATTAAGGCTAATAAGTACAAGCCATCAAAGAAGATCAAAGTAAGAATAGTCTTTAGTATCATCATAATAGATATAGCTCAGAGATGAGGTTATAAAGTTCATATAAAAGATGAATATAAGCAATACATTTTTAAAACCAAAGATGGAATAAATTAGGTTTAATATTATAGAGAGATTAAAAGATAGTAGATAAGTAGAGTATTCTAATAGATTATTAATTTAGAATATAATTTATAATCAAAATTTAGACAAAGAATTTTTTGCTTTTAATTGAGTTGTATTCTTATCCTCAACAACACCAATTTGATAAAGTGTACTTGGTGCCATGAATTATTGCTAAATTCTTTGAACCCAACAAAATATCTTAAAGGATTTAAACTTGTATACACATTCTTCATAAGACCTAAAATAGAAGATGTAAAGATCAAGTTTTTGTTCACAAAAAATTTAAAGTGTTTTAACAATCACAAAGTTTTATTTTTTAAGTTAAAATATTTATCTATATAAATTATGAAAACTTATTTTTGAAATTAAGGATATAGTTGGACTTAGAAGTAGTCTTTAATAAAAATACATAGATTTTTATAAATAAGTTGGAGTAGACAAGAGTTTTTTTCAACAAATGCTTCAAAACTTTTTATTATGGTAATTGGCTATGAGTTAAGTAGAGTATTTTGTTAAATTAAATCTACTTTGGACAATCTTTTACAAAGTAATTTTTGTAGCCATATCATAAGTTTTTCAAAAGTTCAAATGATTCAATTTTTGATACTAAATGTCATTTAGATTTGAAACATAATAGATAATTTTTATTAATGTTAACTTAAAGTTAAAAATGAAAAATAATGGACTTCACTAAAAATTCTTATTATAGAATTTAAAAATAGTTGATAGCAATTGTACTTTTAGAATAATCTATAATAAAGAAGTGATCTTTAAGAGAAGTTTTAAGTTAAGACTATTCTTTGTTGCTTAAGTAGTAATTTATTAAAGAGATAAAAAATTATTCTTGTCAAGTACTAAATAAGATCATAAGTCAAAAAGAAAAAAATATTAAATATAATCAATATTTTCTACAAAGAAAAGAGTGTTCTTAATACCATGTACATATATAATTTTATTTAATATGACCTTATTATCAAGATAAAAAATTTATTTATAAAAAATAATAAAATAATCTCTTTTGGTAGTAGTTATATTATGATTGGTTCTATAAGAACTAAAAAAAAAAAAAAAAAGTTAGATAGAATAGTCCTATTACCAATAATGTGATTACCACCCTCTAAATCTACATAGCAATCTTCCTTTGATTCATCTAATTAAGTCATATTGGTTTAAAAATCCTCTAATCTTAACTCTTCATAGTTATTAAAACTATAATCTAGAAGATTTAAGTATTGAACAAGATGTGCTTAAGCTTAAACTTTTATTTATAATGTCTAACCTTACTAAATTAGTTGTATGAACTTAAATAATAAGCTCTGCTATCCCTCATTTTATTACATTAGAAGAAGTTGCTTCCTTGATATGCCTTTGTTTGTAATAGAATAACTTAACCATGGCTTTGCTTCTAAATATGGTGAAGCTTAGAACAATCATTATTTCTTTAAAAACATCATAGTTTTTATACTATCTTTATTAATTATATGAAGAAGCCTATTAAAAAAAATATGGATACATATTTGATTTTATCAATAGAAACATTTAGATTATGAAGTAGTCCAACTAGATTGTTGTTTTTTTAATGCAATCTTCAATAGCAATTTCTTTAGCCATTATAACATAATTTATCTTTTGATCAAGAATAAGATGACATTGTAGTAGTTCTCTACCAAATTCCTATTGAAAGTTTTTTAAGCTTTGTGTTAGATTCTTTTCAAGGCTATTTATATTTTTGAAGAAACTTATTATTAAAAATAGCTTTGAGAATAAAAATTACCTTAACTTTCTTAAGCTTAAGCTCTTGTGTAGTTAGCATAGGGAGATTTAGATTCCCTATATCTTTTAAAGCAATACTAACATCTATAAGTCTTAGAACATATGTGTCTTTAAATTGAAGTTTATTTTATACTTCAACTTACTTGAATAGAAACTTTATGTGCATGGACTAATTCTTGATCTATTTAGTTTTTAAAAATAAGATGTTGAATTAAATCCATGTTGAGAAAAACTATATATATATATATATATATATATATATAATTTTAAAATTCTATATATAACTTGTAAAAGATAAAAAAATTAAAAATTTGAGAATGTTAAATGCAAATTTTCAACTTTTGTATACATACATAAAATAATTTTTAGAGTGGACTTTAAACAATTATTTATATACTAAATTTTGCAAAGAAAAAAAATTCTTTTTCAATGTTTATTTATATTTTAGGAATTTATTTATTCAAATTGTGGTCTATAAATTCTTGAAATAAAATATAAATAACAAAAGAGAATTTCCACCTAATATTTCACCTCTCAACCAAATCCTTGGCAACTACCTCAAGATCTTTCACCTAAGCAATGCTTGCTACTCTAACATTAAGAGCCATTACAAGCTTTGATACCATGCTGTCAATTCTATATTAGTGATTGAAATATCAACATCTTTAAATTAGTTACATTTAAGAAGACAAGCAAAAGATAAATTATGACTATAAAAATAATACTTAGATTTGATGGTATAGAAATAAATTAGCAAGAAATCTAAATTTAACTAAAAGCCAAGAAACTTATTAAAGATGTATATGTATTATTGAAATAATTAAGATAGTAATAAAGTTGATAGTTTTTTATATAAATAATATTTAAAATATAAATATTAAATATTGATTTCAGTTGATTTTCTTTAATTTTATTTTATTATTTGAAATAATAAATATACTATAAAAATATTCATTAAAAATATTTAAATTAAAAAAAAGAATATCCAAAAAAAACAACACAAAAGATCTAATAGATCTAAAGTTGTAAAAGAATTTTAAAAAAAAAAACAAAAAACGAAAAACAAAACAAACCAAACTAAACCAAACAAAACAAGAATATTGTTATTGATATTTTTTTAATTATTTTGGTAAGTGATGTTATTTCTAAATATAAATTTTGAATAATTATTATACATTATAAACCTTTATACATGAAATTCTTATGCAAATTTACCATTGAGTTATTACTTTTAATTTTTGTCACAATATGGTTTTTATAAATTTAATTTTTAAAAACAAAAAAACATCTAATTTAAAGCTAAATCCAAATTTTTAATCATATTATAAGTATTTTAACAAAATCATCACATAATATAATCTAGTTATATTTTAAATTTTCTAGAAAAAAATATATTTGAATTTACTAATTTTATTGTTTCAAAAAGTCATATGGCATTTAATCACAATATTACATTGTTGTTAAAGAAAATCTTCTTAATTTTGATTATTTATTCTTGATTATGGAACAAAAATACTTCAAGTTCTTAAGCAAAAAAAAAATTAAAATTTTATTACTAAAAATAGAATTAAATAAAAATCTATCAAAATAAATAAAATAAAATAAAATATCAAAAAAAATATAAAATAATGTTTAATATTTGTAAAATTTCAATATAGATATATATAAAATATAAAATTTATAGTTCTATTAGAATAGAATATTAAACTTATAGAAGAGATAAAAATATTTTATTTTCGGATATAAATGGTGTAATATATATTTATTTCTATAATAAGAAAAAAATAGACATAATTATTTTAAAAGTGCCATATTTTTATATTTGATCATTTTAAATATTTCATCAAAATAAAGAAATAAATATTTAACTAGTATTTACACCACATGAATATGATAGTATTATGATTTTATGTTATTTGGAATAATACAAGATATAATTTGGTCCTAAAGAAGACTAAAATATTTTTGGATAATTAGAATTGGTCTATTAATGAATGCAATGTATCTAAATGCTTTGTAATGGTAACAAACGTTTGTTTATTTTAAAGTAAAATTAGGGTATTTACATTTTATTAAAAAATAGAATAAAGTAGGTTAACACTCTTCTTAACTTTCATATTTTATTCTAGAAATGCTTAAAGAATTGTGTATTAGTTTGGTTGATGTTGTATTTTTACTATTTGTAATTTTACTATATTTTCAAATCTACAATATAGCAAGATTCATATTTAAGTTTGTTTAGCAAGATTATATTTAATGTTGATTAATTGAAAATACCCTAACATTAAATTATTTATAATGTTTAGCAAGATTATATATAATGTGTTTTAGTAGAATAATTTAATGTTAGGATAATTATTTTAAAGTAAAATTAGGGTATTTACATTTCAGCCTAAATAACATTAAATTATTCTACTAAAACAATGTTTTCATTTCATTTTCATCATCTTAATGTGGTTGAATAATAACTAATATAGGTCTTGTGGTTATTAAATCTAATAATTGTAGGGTCATGATATTAAGTACAATTAAATCAATATATAAAGTACTACAATTCTGAGGTCTTAGACTTAAATAGTAATATTTATCTATTCTTATTTCAACTAAAAGATACTATCAGAAATTTCAAATCATAGAATATGTTGGATAAGAAAAGATAAAGCGATTATTAATTAAGCACTAAATTTGTATATGCATGGCATGCATAAGACCAGTAATAAATAAACATTGCTAAAATTTGGCAATAATATTAGCAAGAGTTAAAATAAATAGTATGTTATTTATGTGTAAATATGTATATATATATATATATATATATATAGTATTAACTCCAAATTGGTTGAATATTGATTTCGTGCATGTTTAGCATGTATACAACAAGTAATACATAAAATTATTGATATAATTAAGTATAGAAACTTCTCTTCCACCTAAATATGAAAACATGATGGTATTGGAAGGGCAACATGTGTCATGAGTGTGCATTATGGAAATCTAGTACACACTATTAGGAGGTTTTTAATTTGCTTATCAGACAATGTACTGCAAGCTGACCAGTTGTGTTTATAATTCAGTGACATCTGACATAGTATCTGATTTTGTATCAAGAGTACACTTGTGAACCCTCTTTGCAATAGCTTGACATCTTCAAGTAAATGTAAAACATACAAGACTTATCAACATTGCAATCCTGGTTACTTAAGAAACTTCGGGTGTAGATAATCTGCATTACAACCCACATTATTTAATATATCTTCACTAGATCGATTGCAGTGTGTTGAGGATACAATGATGAAAAAATACACTGCACAGCCTTTAACTTCCGAACTGTCAGTTACGCTACATTGAGGCACTCCACACAGAGGCGTAAGTGAGAAACAAGAGACAATGTACCGAAGAATGTCGGAAAAGGAAGGAAATGCCACATGAATACAAACAATTTCTCCCTGAATAAACACTAAACCACGAAGAGATTGTGCGTTCAAGAGAAGATGTGTCGCATATACTGTCAATCATAGCAGTCATGGTGAAACTGTTTCCGGGTCGTCAGGGAGGCTTCATGCATCGCTTAAATGCACACGAACCAACCTTTCATGTTGAATTACAACGACCCTAATCATAAATTCAGAACTAGTGTAGCGTTGCAGTACAAATATCAAATAGAGCAGCTAAGAACAAATTAATTCTCAACCGTTGTACTTGCCCCAATCCAAAAGAAATTGTGCATAAGCACCTCAAATACTTAATTTATCTCTTCAAAGCACTAAGTTCATCAGGATACGGGGTATATTACAGAATATGTAACTTGAAACAGTAACTAGCAGGCACCCTTCACGAGGGACCATGATCTTTATCAAGACGTTTGATATCAAGAATCAATTAAAGAAAAAAAACGGTACCGCACCGGAACGCCTCCCAGCTTATGATATCTACCACCGGTTCAGAAATGGAAGGATGGGGTATCACCGTCCTTGCATGAGACACATCGCAAACATCACCCTTCCTACAAATCTGTATGATGGGCCAAAACTTTATCTTATTCTTGCACTCAGCTTTTACTTGTTCCATCCGAGGCCTGTACCAGTATCGACTTCGGATCGATATGCTCCACTTTGTCACAGTCGCCAATAAGGTCCTTTGCAGTTGCCGCACCCGATTGTGAACTACTAGATTCCGCAGCGCCACCGAGCTCAGAACCTCTCTTGGGCACTTTTATTTCTAACAATTTCTCCACTGGGGTACGACAAACGGGGCAGCGATTGGTTTGGAATCTCAATACCTTGGCGCATTCACTACACATACACTGTAAGCCATTCCCATCCCAATAACACACCCTTCATTAGTAGGATGCAGATAAGCCCCTGGAAACTTGTGGCATTGTCAATGTTGCAATCGTTGTTCAACTCAAGTATCAATATAATATAAATGGGACTTACACTCACTAAAAAAAGTAAGTAAAAGAAAATGAAGAAGAAGAAGACGAAGAAGAAGAATGTCAAGAAGGCTGCCACACGGAACAAGAAAAAGATGTGCCAGTATCGTTTTTTTTCTAAAATCGAGCAGAACTTTATGGAATTTTTCTTGTAATCAGATTGTTGGCGAGTAGAAACCTTCAAGAGTTACATTTCTTTCCCCGTTAGTTTAGGCAAATTAAGTAAATCCAAACAGGAACAAGCAGTCTCACCATGTGTCGACAAGGCAGAACAGTGGTATCCCGAGGTTCTGACATACACACGACGCATGCTTTCCCAGCAACAGTGCCATCAAAATTACCACCTATTCCACTGTTATCGATTCCATAGATTTCTTGTAGCTCATATCGGAGGCCAGAGATCCAAAGAATTTGCTTCACCACCCGCACCTGGTATGAATCATCGTCCTTCTTCTCAATAGTTGCTTGTGTGATCTGTGCGTGCACCCAGTCTGGTAGGGGAGCTCCAAGAGGCAATGATTCTCGCGGCGGCTCATCAGCTGGGGGCGACTTTGGCAATGTTTCCATTCGGATCACTAATGGAAATACGTAGTGTTCTCCTCCTTTCAACAATTCTTTTTCACCGAACTTAGAAAACTTGACGCCTGTTCCTGGAGCCTGCCTGAACTTTTGTCCCAGACCTTTCTCAAATTCAGATCGCAATGGTGTGTAGGCATCGGGCTTCACTGGTGATAGGCTGCAGTCTGCACCCTCTTCTGCAAGGAAAAAGATACATATGCTGCACAAAGCGTCACGTAAAAAAAATAAGCATGACGAATTAATGACATCTCGGGACCAGAATAAAACTAAGAATGTTTTTGAAGTAATATGTAGTCAATAACAACCAGATGCATGGACAGAAGGACTCAAAACCGAGATCATGACTTTAAGTGCCTTCAACTACCAATTCGTATGCGTTCTCCGCAACTTCCAATTTCACAAAATCATCCGCAATTCGAGTCCGGGAAAGCGTTTGATCGTGTGAAAAGGGCAGATAACTCAGAAAGCTCGTGTATTCCTATAGCCTGAGCAGATATTCACGAGCTTTTCGCAATCCAAGTAATTCTCTTCAGCCTCTAAGAGGAATTAGAACTGCGAATGCAAACTACCTCCCACCGTCCATCGAAAGTCAAGTTCTCAAGAAACTGACCTTCCAGCAGCAGTAGCATCAAAGGAGAAAGACACCAAATAAGAACCGCGATTTTCTTCGTCTTTCTCCAGCCGGAGTGTAGCCTTCTTCAAATTCACAGTATTCTGGATGGTACTAGCTCTCTGATGCTCTACAACTTCCAAGGGTCGTGGAGGCTGAGACACAGGGTGTGAAGGCATTCCACCTGGTTGACTATACAATTGCGGCGGAGGCAGATTTATCATGAATTGCCCATTGCTTTGGATAAAATTTTGTGAGTAAAATTGTGAAGGCGGTATCAGACCATTATAGTGATGATATGAATAGTAACGAACATTAGGTGGATACATTCCAGGACCTGGGGGCGGGGCATGCCCACCAGGGTACCTATGCGGAGCAGGATACATCCGAGGTGGAGGCGGATGGCCAGGGCTTTGGGACAAAATATGGCTGTTGCGCCGACCACTGCTTGACGAATTCCCCATAGCACGGCAGCCACCCCCACACCCCGAAATACAATTCTACTCGCTATGCAAGCTAACAATCCAACTCAATCCTTGGTCATTTCCTACACCCACACTTCCATTCCAACTTTTGGTCAATCCCAATTGCACTCCACTCTCCAAAACTAATCCCCTAATTACAAAAAAAAAAAAAAAAAAAAAAAAAAAAAAACTGCTATAAGCCACAAAAGGTCAACATAACCTCACACGCCCTCGCCACTCCATCTAAACGCGGCTCCCACCCAATTCGCCACCCTAAAAACCCTAAGCAATCCCTGATTCACACTCCTGCGTCCCCCACCACTCTCGCTCAATTGATCTTCAATTGCCACGCTCCGTCCCCACGTCCGCAATTCTCAACCTCCCAAGGCCACACCAAACCCCAACTTCTGCACTACCAACAAACCCATCCAAACCCAACAGCGAAACTGCTCAATATTGTAAACCCACAACCTCCACCCGGGGTTTTCTACTGGGTAGCAATTGCCCCCAAGAATCCGACGCGCATCTGCACGCGACGGATCGAGCAATGACCTCGCAAGGAAGCAGGGCACGATCTGCCGCTGTGATTGAGTTCAAGACCAGTTTCCACACACTTCCCCGTGGGACCCGCGCTGGGTGGAGCATAAAAGAATCATTATGACGGAAGGATAACTTTTTATCCTGGCCCCGTTCGTAAAGACGCCGCTTTAGGAACCTCAACTCAACGACGTAGAAACGGCCGCTGCCCGAGATCGATCCCATGATGCATGCGCGCGGGGCGTGTTCACCTTGCCACGCTCGTTCAGGACGTGTACCACCGCCCATATATACGAATACGTATCGTAATTGATAGTCTTCGTCGTATATTATTCCCTCTAATCTTGTTTTATAAATAGATGTTGAACAATCAGTATTACACGGCATTGGATACTGGGAACGAGGGAGGTTATTTTATTCAACTGTTGGTCTTGTTCAAAAATATCTTACTCACATTTCAAAGGTCACTTTGAATGCTTTGATTTTTTTTCTCACTATATATAGACATCCTGTTTTCAATGAGTTGGGATGTAAAAGAATATGGGTAGTTGACATTTCGTGTGAGCCATTTGTAATTTATGTCTATTTTTTAAAAATATAAGTGAACAATGTATGAATAATTAGACAAACTGAGGCTAATTGTTTTAAAGCGTTGGCTGTAATTTAAACAAGTTTCTAGAAGGGTGTGTGAATGCACTGATTAATGAACAAAACACGAAGATATAAATAAGTTTCAGTAAATCATGTGTAACTCCTAAATTAATTTGAACCGATTTTTAAAATAACTTTGATAGCAAAACTTAATATTTTGAAAGTGAGCAATAATTTTCATTATTTTTATTATGTTTGTCAACTTTGGACTATGTGATTCTTATAAATTAGTAATTATACTTTCAAACTATATTGTTACTTAAAATATTTTTAAAACTAATTATAGACTTTTTAACTATTTCTTATTTCAATTGGAGTATATTTAAAAATAATAATATAGATATTATTTCATCTCATGCCCTACACATTACACAATATCCAATATTAGAACTAATAATAACTATGCATTAAATGATCTTATTAGTAATATCTAGTACTAAAAAAATCTTGCTCCAAAATTCAATTAAAAGAAATTGGTTGACAATCCCTATGCTAATGATTTTTGTACATAAAGATTAATTCAAATGCCTAAATAATTTACATGATTCCTTTGAAAAATTTGATACTTAGTATAATTCTTAATTTTTTATTATTTATTAAAATATTTAAAGTTACATAAAATAATCATGTAATCTATTCTTTATAAGCTATTAAAAAGAAATTTTTTTGTAATATATATATATATATATATATATATATATATATATATACTTAAAGTAATCTTCCTGACAATATTTAAAAATAGAGATTCAATCTATAATTACAAACACTAAGTATTTATTCTAAAGGTTTAAACTATTTGTAACAAAATCTTTTGATACTAATTACTATAGTTATTTCAAACAAAGTGGTTGTAGCAAATCATGTGGTTGATGCCTTAAAATCTTAGTTTTCTTATATAATAAAAATATAAAGAAGTAATTTTATATCCATTATTTATTTATTTTTGATCGCTAATAAAATATACACAAAAATTCTTTAATTTTACTAAAATCAATACATCAAATATATAAAAATTTAAAACATCAAAGTAATCAATTATATAACTATTACAAATTTATTTATTATTAGCTTCAATATATATAGGGAGTTGTGAAAGCCATACCCCAATTTTGGTAAAACCACACCACTCTTTCTATCTCATAATCTATTTTGCACATGTTCTTTATCTTCCAATAAAAATAAAAATACACAAATACACAAACAATCTATAAGTCACATAAAAATATTATTCATAAATTTAGTTATTTAAAAAATAAAAAATAATAATAAAGATAATATTTTCTTTAATTTACACTATTTTCAAAATTAAAATTTTATTTTCTAAATTTTCAATGATCAATTGTAAAATAAATTTCTCTCTAGTTAATTATAATTTGAAATTAGAAATTTTTATTTAGAAACTAATAAATCCTCATACTTTGAATACTTTAATTGTATTTAATTACTGTAACCACTCTTACACCATAGAAAATCTACTAAATCCTAATTAAGCCATACTACCATTCTCAAGCATGTGCATGGAGGCAGTGGTAGGGTAGAGATGGAAGTCGTGATAGTAGCTAGGAATAGAGTCGAAGACAAGGGACATGTATCAAGGACAAGAACATGATAAAGACAAATAAAAAAGTGAGACTTCTCTCATAGAAAGATGACAAAATAGAAATAACTTGATATATATATTAAAAAAGAAACTAGAATGGCTATTGTCAAAAGTCAAGAAAACTAGAGACCCTTCAAACTAGATTGGAAGCAAGAAAAGAATTGACAAGAGTGAAGAAGGCTTCATTCTTATCTCTATATATACTATCTAACTAGGGGCTACATGGCGACATTCTATAGGACCTCCAATATATGTTGACTTTGTAGGATACATGCCTTGACTTACAAGGCAAGTTTTTCTACGTGTGGGCCACATAGTTAGCTTGGTCTTCAAGCTAACAACATGTGTGGCACATGGCCAACTTGTTGACGACGTTTCTAATCCCAAAAAGTCAATTAAAGACACCTATAAAGTCAAAGCAGCGTCTATTAAGCTGCTATGAAGCTTCCATACCAAATACTATAGAATTAATTTACTTTTATCTACTTTTATTTACCTCTATCTATTTATACATGTAATTATTGGCTTACATGTATATGTCCGTGATATTACCCCCCCTTCTAGGGACGAGTTTCACGAGGAGCGGTAATCATATGTTGAGGAAAACTATGATGCGACAAATTGTATTTGCTACATATTCTGATCTTTGTTCTCTTCGAAGATGATTGATAGGGCCTCTTAATCATCATTAGTGTCCCATACCAAGGTGGGAAGACCACCCAGTTATTTGATCATTGTTAACGCCTTCATAACTTCCTTCGAATAAAATATTTGGAACACCATCAGAAGTTGTTCCTACCTCTAGTAAAATCACCAAACATCGGGAGTCCCCTCCAAGGTCGTGATACCAAATGAGTTGTATCTCGCCATCTATTCGAGGAAGAACATGTCATTCTTGAAGATCTTCATCTCGATTGTCTCATCTTGAAGGTTCTGACAATCGTAATGTATCGTCTGACAGATCAGCAAACAAAGGCTCTTGAGTCAAATTGGCTAGTTGTTGGTTCTCCATTTCCTAAGCATCACAACTACAAAGAAGCTACAAACAAGGATTGAAAGTAGAATGTTATCTTGCTTAGATCTTGTTTTTTTTATAAGGAAGGTTTTCATCTTGATTTTGATGGATGTCATTGATGAAAAGCCTCCACCGCCTTCGTTGCATTTGCAAGATTCTTTACTGGCTCCCATGTGTGTTCACTAATATCATATCAGCGCTAATGGACAAGATATTCTAATTTATTTCGGCATTGCCTTGAATCTAAGAGTTCTTCCACTTCAAAGTCTTCATTATTGTCTACTTCTATAGGAGAAGGTGGAGCTTGTCTTCTTCTTGGTATGTCCATTGTCTTGTATGGTTCAAGAAGAGATAGGTGAAATATTAGATGAATTTTTACTGACTTCGGTAAATATAAAGGATATGCAACTGCATTGATTTATATAGAAATAGAAAATGGTCGAAGCCTTCAATAGTCCAACTTGTCACAAGGATGAATGGTCTTGATATTACGACGAAGTAACCATACCTTATCACCCATGTAGAATGGTGGTTGTTCATTTCGACATACATCCGCATTGACATTTTGTTATTCTTGAGTTTCTTTTAACTGCGCCTTCATCGTTGCATGTAGCTCTGACAAATGAATTGCCAAATCTTTCGCAGTAGGATTATCAATTTTTGAAAAGTCAAAAGTATCAAGTCATGGATGATAACCATAATTAGCAAAGAAAGGTGTTTGTTTTGTAGAAGAATGAACCATATTATTGTAAGCAAACTTTGTCAATGGCAAAAGAGTTTTCCAATCATCTAGTTGGTAGTTAATGGTACATCTTAAATACTACTCCAAAACTTGATTAACACGCTCCGTTTGTCCATCAATTTGAGGATGGAATGTCAAAGATAGTTTTATATGCACTTTTAGAATCTTGAAAAGAGTCCGCCAAAATCTTGATACAAATTGAGTTCTCCTATGTAATATAATATCCTTGAATAATCCATAATAGAGATAGATATTGTCAAGAAAGAGCTTAGCTGTTTTTCCACATGTGATAGATTTTGTACATAGTAAAAAATGTGCCATCTTGGTAAAACGATCTACTATCATAAATATAGAGTCATAAGAACCTAAGATTAAAAGATCTGTGATGAAATCCATAGAAATAGAAGACCATGGTTGTTCTAGAATGGATAATGGTTGAAAAAATCCATAAGGTCGATGACGAGGAATTTTTGATCTTGAGCAAACATCACAAGATTGTACAAAATCTTTGACTGCTTTCTACATTTGTGGCCACCAAAAGTCTCTAGATATTAGTTCCAAAGTTTTATTATATCCAAAATGTCCTGCTTCTAGAAAGTCATGACGAGCTTGAAGAACATGTAATCGAGCTTCATCTTCTGGAACATATAGGCGTCCCTCAAAATATAGTAGATTCTTCTAGAATTCAAACTTGGAAGTATCATGAGACTTTGAAGGATTTTTTTTCATATCACGAATAAGAGGATCATAAGACATACTTGACTGAACTTGCTTAATAAAAGTTGAATCAACAGTTAATGTTGATTTCATTGCTCGAAGATAAAGATGCTTTGGCTTCAAGAGAATTATTCGTTGTTGATCAAAAGCAACATCTCCTTCCTTTGGTACAAGATAAGATTGTTTAGAAAGTGCATCTGACAAACCTTGTTATTTTCCTGGTCAATAAGTGATCTTGAATTCGAATCTTGACAAAGACATACTCCAATGGGCTTGGCGACGATTCAAAACACATGCTGACATAAAATATTCA